GAATCAGCAGTTGTTGGCAAACATTTATCCGCAATCAAACGCATCAACCAAAATTTTGTAATTCATTGAACTAATAGATTCTTGGAATTTTTCAATCGAATTTTACTGCCAAAGCAACGCTCAATCCAGTGCCGAAGTAAAAATGCGTTTCGGAGAAAAGATTGACGAAGAACATGAGTATCAACGCACTTTTCAAGGATTGTGTACCGATACGCATTGGGTTATATTCGAATGTTCGAATAATGTTGGTTCGTTCATTTGTATCGAACTGGAATTGCTTCGGAAAGAGTGTATGCCGCTTCGGTAGAGTGAGTCACACAGCTGTAGAAACACGCTGCTATTTAGGAAGAGTCTTTTTTGGCAGCCGAAATTTGAAAGGTGATTCTAATGTTTGGTGCGCCAATATGCTGTATATGTGCTCATGAATAGAGCCGATACATAGACATTCTTCCTCCCCTTAAAAATCGAAACGAAAAAACCGGGGTGTGTATAATATGACGGAAGAAATATACCGACAAGGAAAAAGCATACCACGCACACACCAACAAAAGCGACGTACACACGCATACATGCACACACATTACATTCTAGCATCATGCGTACATCAACCGCACGAAGGCGAAAGCGAGATAGCATGAAACACCGAAAGTCATTTGCGGGCTGTTGTTAGTGTAATTCCCTTTTCGGCTATCTCGCAATTATATAGGAAAACATATACCCTATTCGTTCACATCTAGGATCAATACGATTTTTTTCCCAACCATTGACTCTCTCTCTCTCCCTCTCGGTATGTTCGACAAATGTGTGTTCGAGTACACAACACCATAAAATTTTAAAACCGATATTATACGGCCATATTGTTTCTTTTCGGATCAAAATTCATACCGTCTAACCAGTTTTTCTGTTTTAATTTCAGTTCAAAATTAACCATTTTCGAAATCAAAATTTGTCAATTTTGCGCGAAAAGTCATTTTTTTATTTGATTTTGTGTTAGTCCCAATATTTCAAAAGCAAATCAATTATTTGATTCAAACGACAACGATTTGAGCATATACACCGAATTTGGCGTGCTTTTTTGTAAGTGTTTGGCATTTTCCTGAACGTTGAAAGTTATTGAAATGTTCCGTTTCATTTTGCATAGTGTAACTGTATCACGTATTTTGATTAAATCGGAAAATTTATGAATTAGTACTCAGAATTTGGTGGAAGTTATAGGATTGTTTGGTTTCCAAGATGAGTTGAATGGCTTGTTTGTGTAGCCGTGCATTGAAAAAGCACGGGGGTTTTAGAAGCATCGAATTTTCTCGAAATGGTTTCCCACCGACTTAAATCTTCTTTTACGGGATTTTGCATATCGTAGAATAAGTAAACTGTGTGCTATGAAAGAAGTGTATGTGTGCTTGCTTTGGAACATCGTAATTTATCATGACTATGTATTGGTTATCGGGTTCATGGAAACCATTATAGATACATAAAATGAGTATCATATATTCAAGAAGAGAAAAACTCATCAATTGCAATTACTTAATTCTATGTCAAACCGTAAATTGCCTACTCATGGAATATATACAAATACAGAAAATAGTTCCATTTTAATGTATAGAGAGAAAAGAATAAAATATTTGGATTGGTTGGTATTCATGCAAACCGAAAGAAGGACGAAACGTGATGAAGCAGTCATTTCTTTGGTTCTTCGCCTTTCGTTAGGTACATCTGTCATTTTCAGCTTTTTGATTTGGAATGTTGTGTTTCAATGCATTCGCTTCAACCCTGAAAAACTCACAAATGACAAACGCTGTGTGCATTGTGTTTATTTTATTGCTATGTTTCAACACTCAATCTTATGGCTTCTTATTGTGGTTTGCTTCCATTTCATGAATTCGCTAGCTCAAACAATAAATCAATCGATATTTTTTTTTAACTATTACACGAATCACGCACTATTACAACGTTTATGCTTCAATCCAAATTACCTATAGCTTATTATATGTAATTTATGAATTTCATTGCATAATTTAGCTGCCCTTGTCGCCGCTTCGCCTGTGAAATGGTTTTGCGAAAAAAGTGTGTTTTTAATTTTAATGATTATGAATGTGAATTACATGCGGAATAGAGTGTGTGCCGGCGTTTGTATTGTGCCATATAAATGACGCTTCGTTTGCATCGCAAAACATCCGCATGAATGCTTCTAAGGTCTAATATTTGAGATTTGGTATCCAGACAAGACGAATTGTGTACACTGAAAATAATTAAAAGCTATACGGACCCAATGACATCATTTTTCCATTGAACGGGGCAGTTCCATTCTATTACTATAACACATCTTCAATTCGTGGTGATTTTTCATTGAGCACATTAAAATTTGAACATTTGCATGAATGAAAGTAGGGAAAAAACAGCGCACATCCTGCGAATGGGGTTTTGCGCATGTGCGTTGACACCAGCACAAGTCAAACGCTTTCACTTTGGCTGAACAAATGAATGAGATGGGCAGAATCAATCGGCAACATACAAGATCATGTATCCTTTTCCAAAAACAATGCTTTTTATTCGCTTTCATAGAAACAAAAAACTGAAATGAACATGGTCAATGCCACACGCGCGCCATTTTCATTTTCATCCACGCACAACACTTTCCCTTCCATTCCGGCCCGGTCGGTGTTGATATGACATTTTGGATGAAAGCCAAATGCAACGTGTTGCGCGGTGATTGTGTATATATATGTTAGATTGTGCCACCAACACAATTTTCGCCAGCCAAAAAATGGAAAACTCGGTTGTTTCCATGGCGAAAAGGATACTGTTTGCCTGAGGATCTTGGAAACAATGGTGCTTAAGAACTCATACATTTGATTTTATGGTATAAATATTAGCTACTTCAAACGAAGACATATCATAGTAGACGACGATGTAGAAAAATAGACAATAGAAAAACTAATTCTTTTCATCAACCACTACAAGCGGGAAGCTGTTCATGTTTCTAACGTATGAAAGCATATCACAAAAAAGCGAGCGAATAATGGGTTCGCAAAAATAATTCGTGAAATCATGGTGTTATGTCTTGGTTACAAGGGCCTGTTTTTTTCAATTCGTTGTTGTTTTTTTTTGTCATTCAAGCATTAGATCACTCACAATTTTTTGTGGAAGGATCTTTTTCATTCGGAGCATTTCCTTTGATATTGGCAAAGGGGAAGCCTCTGAGTAGATTTAAAATTCAATCAACAATGAAATAAGAAATAAGCGCTCTGTTTCTATATCGTGGATGCGATGACTGAAGAAAAGTGTGCAGACTTTTTCATTCCATAAACTATTCTTTTCTATTTAGCATTTCATTATTTAATTTTTGTTGAATAAAAAATTCTATACATCGGCAACTCTGATATTCAGCCAATACACAAGTTCCCGCGCTTCGTGACGATGTCGATTTTGTCTCTTGATCCTTGTTCTTTTCTTCAAGTTATATTATTGTTTGAGGAACATTAAGTTTGAGAGATCTTCTTCTGTGATGTTTACTTTCCTTCAACAAAAATTCATGATCCGAGTCTCGAAAAGCCCAATTATCCAAAGTGAACAAGCAAACGGACGTGAGCAAGCGATGAATTGAGACATTTCAATTGCCGCTCACCGATCGAGATGGATAAATTTGCACTCGCGATATATGCCCGAATATATTGCTGAACCAGCGATTGATTTGATTATAATTGTAATGTTCGGTAGGGTCGCCTCTAATCATTTCGAAGTGAGAAGCACAACTTAATCCATCTGCCGCTCTCTCCCTCTCTGCATGGCTTAAAATGTTAGACAATCAAACGTTATATGCGAAACGAGACATACTAAGCGTAAAAGAAGTGAACCGAAAGAATCAATAACAATCCTGCTTCGGTGAGGTACGCCAATATTTTCTTAGCAACACAATCGAAAAATCCTCATAAAAACTATATCAACACACATTAACCAGCAACAGGAAACATACACACGAAAAATCCATAGCGTTGCCGAAATTCGCACTATACACTCGCATATGCTTATGCATACACAAATGAATGGCAAGAAGAAAAAAGCAGCAGAAAAAGCAGCAGCACCGAAATTCAGTCAAAAGTAGACGAAAAAGTAAGAACTAATATATGAAACACATAGGCATCCATTTAACGTGCTTCGTATTGGGTATATATCTGGCGTTTGCCTTCTAAAAATCTTTTTCGGCACTTACAAGGTTTTCTAACAATGTTTGTGCCGCTGTGCTGCTGCACGCACGTTGTGCGCTCTCACTCACTGCTCTTGCTCGTCAATTCTACAGATATACTTTACCTAATACCTCGTGTACATTTCAGATCTATTTGTCTTCATCGCACGCAATAGATTTGTGTGCACTCTTCGGGCACATTGAAGTTTGTATAGTCGAAAAAAATCCAACCAATACTTCTGTTGCTTGATGTGCTGTGTAGTTTTTTTTTTCATATTCCGCGCCATTGACAGCAAGAGCATGGAAACAATTCCGATCAGTTGTTAGTTTTCATTTTCGAAACGGATTCGATGTATCAAGCTGTATTGCTGCCGCACCGCCGTTGCTTCTGCTGCTGCTGGCATAGCATGATGAACATAATGAACTATTCCGTAGATTTTACACACATCTTATTTTTTTGTCTCGTATTTCTTGAACGTTGGCTTCCACTTCTTTGTAACGCATACATGCAGGCATTATGTAATTGTGTTAGAATATCTCATGGTTCAATGAAAAATTTGTGAACCACTTGAGAGAGAAAGACAAGAGAAAGAGAGAAAGAGCGTGTCTCTGTGTGTGTGCTCACATGCGAGCACTGCTCAATTCACACGCACACACATGTATCCGGACTTGAGCAAACCAAAGAAGCTCTCGCTAACACCGATCAAGCGACTAGAATGAACGAAAGAGAACAGAAATTTTTTGAGAGAAGAACGAGCGGGTTCTGTGTGTGCTGCTGACTTGAACGAAAATGTATGAGATCGAGCAAATTTAGTTGATGAATAAAATTCAAACGAAATAGAACGGTGCTGCTGCTCGTTGCGGCCGTATTCTTTCCGTTTTTTGATAATTTTTTAGAATTTTTTTTTTGAAATTTTTTTCGTATTTTTTTTGTAAATTTATTTTCGTTTAAGTCTTCAAATTTATTTTCGTGCTAAAAGTGTGTACGAGTTTTTTGTGAATTGTGGCACAATTTTTTTTTTCATTAAAAACCTAAAGAAAATAAGAAGAAAATTGGTCGAATCACAATATAGACTAAAATTTGCCGAAAAACTAAAATTAAAGCAAAATTCAATCAAAAATCAAATGTGTACGAATAGTTTTTCGAAGCGGAGCGCACGAAGCATATACACTGACATAATTTGTTTGTGTTCCGAGGAACTTTAATTCATATTTATGTTGTTGAATGAGAATAGCTGGTAATTCTTTTTTCTCTGTTTCTTTTCATTCAATTCGTAGGTTCTTTTTCTATGAATTTAGGAGTTTTGTTTTTGTTGTTGTTGTTATTGTCGTATTCGTATTCGTACAGTGAATGGAGAATATATATATATATATATAACTATATATGTATAGCGATTATTTTGCCGAAAAATTAGGAAGAATATGTTTGAATATGAAATTCGGTGTGTGCCGCGAGTGCAACAAGGGTAGAGCGAATGATGTACAGAGCAAAGAAAAAAAAAACAAAAGACTTGAACATAATTTTTTTTGTTTGTTTGTTCGTTGTGTGGAAAACAGGATTCAAATTAAACTATTCAATATTTAGATCGAAAGAGAATTTATTGGTGTACCGAAAAAACATGTAGTGAATGAATGACAGAGCAACCGGTGTGCTTGTGTATGTGAATCCGAAGTATTCGGCAGCCAGCTATAGAAGTAGAGCACTCTGGTGTAATTGGTTAAAACAGCTATTAGAAGGTGGCAGCGAGACCGTTTTAGCGACCACATTTTTTAGGGAAAACATGTAAGAATATTGAGTCGGCTCGAATTCGGTTAGGTTGGTGGAAGAACGAACGAACAACTCACGACAATATTAGCATATTTAATAAATATGTAGTTGAAGCATGCCGGTAGCCGGCTGTCATTTTGAATTTTCGATTTTAGGTATTAGAAACTTTTGCATTTAATGTTACCTGTAGATCGCAAACCAACACACAGAAAACCCGTTTACAAACCATTAATTTTCATGTGATGTTTTTTCTTTATTCCATCCAAAAATTCTAGTTGAAAACAAATCAAAAACAAAGTGAATTGGACACATCAAAAGTCAACAGACATAAATTCATTGTTTCGGAACAAACAAAAAACACACGAAAGATAACAAAAAGTTTTTTTCTCTCAACGAAACACTTTTCGAAAAATCAACTGTTTTGTCAATTACTATCAAAAGACTTTAAAAAAGAAAGTTGAAAACAATTGGTTCACACAGAAAAAAGTTTTGACTTTTAAAAATTGCATTTCGAACTCCTTACTCCAGGAAGACAAATCTAGAGAAAAACAAAGAAAACACAAATCGAAAACCGACTATTTTGAGTAAACCAAAAGTAAATCTAAATAAAAAAAAGTTTGAAGTAACTCCTTTTGAATTGAAAAAAGAAGAAATAAGAAACAAATCACATTAAACATGGCTGATATGGATCAATTTGCTGAATTGGAACTTTCCAAAGAAGATCGTGAACAAATATTTGAACCGCCCACAGATAGACAGCAACATCCTGTACTTGATCCTTCATCATCAAGGTAAAACAATTACTTAAAAAATAATTTTGGTAGCACATTTAACACCTACATACAACAAATCCAATAGATGTTTTTTTTTCATAATTTAGAGCATTTTTCTGAGTAACAATAGTGCATTTTGCATATCCCAGATGTCTGTTATTTTAGATTTAGCCATTGTTTCAACTCATCTTCTAACCAACATGCACGGTGTCGGTTTGAATCAAACATGTCAAAATGAACAAATAGTCATCTCATTGAGATTCTCGTTTTCAAATAGAATTCGAGTTTCTTCGAAGAATTTTAAATTTGGAAGCAATAAAAATAAAATAATGTGCCAATTACTACGGAACTTTGAACCAAATCCAGAAGAAGTGTTCTTCGGAATACATTGTTTTCTCAAGCTTCTACATGTTTTAGTTGTTACCATGAAGAATACTCACATTTTCAAGATAAACTCAATATGCAAATATGCACGTTCCAAAATACATCAGGTGGAAGCGAAATTTTGAATGACTGGTATAAAATAATCTTTCGATTGATATTTATGATTCATGGAAATGTTTATTTGAAACGGTTTGGTAGCAAAAAAACGACAGTCACTAATAACAACACAGTCGCAATTTTTTCTCGAGTTGAATTTATGTGATGAATGTGAAAATTGGAATGACAAGTGATGGTGGTATTTTCGGTTGAAATGTATCGATGTTCAAGCTCGCTAGTTTTGGCCATGATAACGAATCATAATTAACAAAGCTAAAACCTGTAACAGCAATAGCAGAAAAAATTATTCGTGCTCACGAGTCGATGTCGAATGCACTCAGAGCAAACCGAACACCGAGAGCATGAAGAAACCGTAGATTGTGTGACGAAAAACAAAAACACAAGAATATAGAAATTCTTCTGCTTAAACTCTCCATATTCATGCTTCGTGTCATGTTTGTGTATATAATTTCACTGCAAAGTACGAAAAATAACAGTGAGTCGCTCGTAAAACAATAAAGAAACACACAGCGCACAGAACAGAACGTTTCGCAAGAATTGCGAGCGAGAAAGAGAGAAAGATGAAAAGAAGTAAGTGAGCCGGCAACAATATTGCTTGCTCTCGTCTACCACATTGACCTGGAGCGTTTTCGAACTGCGCTTCAGAGCGAGAACGCGCGATGCAGCACGAAGTAGGTGCATTTCATCGATGTTCGTGTGTAGTTGAGTTGGAATCGAAACGTGAAAATCGACACAAAACTAAAAACAATTGAAAAGAGAGAAGAAAAAAGAAACATTAGCCGAGTGCATAGCGCGCACCGAGCACAATACGAACGGTTCGCTTGTATTGGAATAAGAATGAGTATGAGCAGAGAATGCGGCGTTTTACTCCCAAATCAAGAAAACGTGCGTCTGTCTGTGTGGTTTCGTCTTTCCTTTCTTTTTCGTGCATTCGTGTGTTGTTTCTTTTTCTTTTTCTTTTCCAATACTCTCGGTGTGCTGTTGCTGTATTTTTTCTTCATCGTTGTCGTCGTCCGTTTGGTCGGTCGGTCGTTCGGTCGTTCGGTCGTTCGTTCGTTCGTTCAATCGTTCCTGATTTTTGTTTTTGTATTCCTGTGTATTGAGCAAATTGTTTGTCGTTACATTTCACTCGAAGTAACCACACTCTTACTTCAGCTATGCGGCGTTTTTTTCGTGTTGGTGCTCTCATTATTCCGTCGTATCTCTGTGGCAAAATTTGCTGTTTCTGTCTATATTATGCTTTCATCATCATTTCTTCCTTATTTTTGCGAGTTGCGAATTACGCTTTTTCATGTTTCTCGCTCTCTCTCCCTCACAAATACGCACACAATGGCTGAATGTGTGAGCAAACATTTTCATTCGAGAGAAACTCTGAGAACGCGCGCTGCTCATTTTGGCCTGTGCACGATTTCACGGTGAAATATTAAATTAGTTTGGTTTCATCGGTGTAATGAATTGTGTGGCGTTTTCATTTTGTCCTTGCATTCGTTCTCAATAAAATATTTTCCGTTGATTTCGTTTTTTACTCGTTCTCCACGACAAAATCAATCACAGAACCAAAAACAGAAGAATATAATAAGAAAAATATATACAAACAGAATGCTGTGAGTTTTGCATCATTTGCATGAAAAAGGAAGCCAGAACAAGAATTCACAGATTGAAAACCCAATTCACTCCGAAATAATTTTTAGCAAACGGTTTAATAAAAGTGAGCGGTTTCATGTTTCATACGTGCACTGTGACAAACCAAGCAAACAGAACATGTGAACTATTGTGCTACAATGAGCATTTTATTATTAATTTATGTTGATAGTTTGCAAAATAAAAAAAATTCTTAAACACATAACGGTTTGAGTGATACAAAACCATATTCTCATCATTTATCAGTAGCTTCTTTTATGAAAAAAAAAGAAAGAAACGAGTACAAAATAATTGAATTTACCGCGAAAAGTGAGTAACAATACAGTGCACTCACCAATTCAATTGCCTAATCATATCCCACCGAAACGAATTCTTATTAATCACGAGTACCGTTGAAGCAGTTTAAAACAAGATGGCATATAATCGGTGAGATCGAATTTCATTTCTATTTCCTAAACTTAAAGTGTATTCAGTGCATACCAATCGCCTGTGTTTGTCCGGCCCTTTGTTATAAAGTCAAGTGTGTTCTGTGTAATTTTTCACCATCATTGCTCTTTCCCGCTTTTGTCTGTCATCATAAATCGACGACTACAGCGATGCCGGCGACTTCGTCAATCAGCCCTGCTGATGATATTAATTCGACGATGGTTAAGCGAAATAAAATAGACGTTGGTGTCTAACAAAATCAAGTGACGAGTAATATGTGACGTTTTTAGAGCTCACTGTGTCTGGACCCAGTGTTCACGACTCATGAATAGCTCAAAACCCACAAATATACAGCAACGACTAGAGAAAAAGAGAAAAATGACGTTATAATTATATACCTTGAGCATCTAGTGGCACATCATCATCAGACACACAAACAGCATCCACGAAAAGTGCAAGCCAATCGATCTATGAATATACGTGCGCATTTATTGCAGGCGGCTCACATTCATTTCATTCTCCTTCTCTCCCCCCTCCCTCCCTCTCTCTCTCTCTCTCTCTTTCTGTCGATTGTCGATTGGGCGCACGCGGGACACTCGCGCGCTCATGCACAAATCCAAAATGAAACAAAATAAAGCGGAATGTGATGTCATTCGAGGAAATCTTGCTTGTGTTCTGTTCTCTCTTCTGTTTTATAACTAAAATCTATTTCTGGCATTTTAAGACTTATTTGGTCAATGTGTTCGGAAGCGCAGACGGCTCAATTGAATACAGGAAAATGTTACAGACATTCTTTCGCGAAAGACGAGTCGAGTCTACACATGTAAGTGCAACATTGCATTCTGTGTATTGGAATGCAAGAATAACGTTTGATTTTCGAGCTGTTGCTGCTGCTGCTTGGCTTGCTGTTGCTGTTTTCGCCGAGCTGTGATTTATTCTGCGGAGATCATTAATTACTTTGTTTGTATTTTCGCAGAATACACAAGTACTCGACGATAAAGAACAACAAGACATTCATTCGAATTTTGAATCTGTGCAAATGTACGACTTTTTCTTTCAAAGTCTCGGCATTCTAATTTGTTTTCAGCGAGCGCGAAAACTCTGACCTACAGCTCAAATTGTCACACACGTTATAACGAAATCCTAATCAAAATTTTAATGTTCCAATACATTTTCTAGTATAAACGGGCGGCTGTACTACTATGATTGTTCATTTATCACCGCTTCATTGTGCCGTCTTTCACACAATTTCACATTTTGCTCGACAATTCGAGGCAAATTCCTTCGACATTGTGCGTGATTGTGTGCTCGTGTGTAATTTATTCATTTCTTTAGTATTTTTTCCTTCTTCTTCTTTCCTCGTTTTTTTCTATGTTGTTTTCATTAATTTCATGTGTATATGATACACATTTTGTAATAAAAATTCATGCGTAAATTCATATTGTACGTACGATTATCAGTTCAATTCAACTTCCGGTGCTCTCTCTCTCTCTCACTCAAAATAACAGTGGAAAATGATTTCATTCATGAATAATTTACAGTCGGTACGATTATATGCGAGAACGCGAGTATGATTGTATCTCTGCGCGCCGCGTCAATACATCCACATACGTTCTTTCTCTCTTGTCATCGTAATGTGTAACGAGACGATTTTCAAGAGATGTGACGACAGTAAATAGATGGGCATTTACCTCGTACTATACAACTCAAACAATCTAGATACATTGAAGATGAAAATGTGTTGCTTTTGAGAAGTTATGTGCGAGTTGTACACACACACATGTATATATTTTTCTTTTTTCATTAATCCCATATTTAGTATGCGAGTGTCGCGCTGTTGCTCGCGGTTTTTGTCTCCTTCTTTCGGCCCGGACGTATCAAAGCAGCACGCACGGTTTATCACTGTTTTTTGCTGCTCCATAATGTGATGTGTCACTGCAGTCGTATATGGGTTGTTAAAATATGTATGCTCTGTTTTCATTCCAGCATTGTTCATCACGACTAGAGTGCATGTCACGATAAATTTCAAATTATTTCGAAATTGTGATGTTTGAGAAATACAAGCCGATAGTGCAAGGAAGTATTTGCTCGCCATTTCGATTTCTGTTATACATATTTCATTACATTGTCGACGAATTTCAATCGTAGTATGTATAATCAATCGAATATTGATGGCATATTAATTTTCGTTCTTGGGAGAGATAGCTAGTATATTAAATTACTATTAATAATAGTAATATTGACGTCCGGTGTTCTATTGAGAAAAAAAAAACATTGTAAACAGTCTTCCAATGAAATTACGGCTCATGGCGCTTAGGACCATGAATGAAAAATAAGTAAAGAATTTGAAACCGAGATCATTCGTCTTTGCATAAATTGTGCTTTGGATCAATTCGGCACAGCGTTTGGCTATAAATTACTGTGGTGCAATGATCTCTTGCTCTGTTTGATATTTGACTTACAAAAACAAATTGAGAAGAGAATGAGAAAATTGCAAAAACGAACTAACAATCGAGTGCAAGCTTGTTTAATTTTTCATTTTTTTGGTTGCTCTCGGTTGTGCGTTCATTGCAGGGAAAAATGCCTTCATACACAACTTGGAGAATATATTGTGTAGTGTCGGCGGATGAATATGGAAAAAGATACTGTGCAAACAAGTGAACGCCAATCAAACTCCTAAGCAAATACAACTATCTATCTTTGAGTTGTTGCAACATTTCATTGGCTACGGATATATCATTGGCTTTCCAGAAATAAATGCGTATAAATAAACAGACACAAACAAAAAGGTTCCTAAAAAATGACAGCAACTATACGACTTTTGTGTCGTTTCATCAGCACAACTTCCATTTTATGAGTGGAATTCACAACATATTTGTGTGTGTATTTTGCTCACTCACTTACTCATTCGATCGGTAAACATAATTGCACACATGAATATAAATTCAACCGACACTCACTCGCACCAACCATTTCAACGTATTAAAAAACGGCACACAGTACCCACGATCAGTCGAGTGACAGAGAAAAGGCGGAAAAAAACGTGGCGACAAATATCAAATAGTTTCACAGAGTGCACACGATTATGTGATGTGTTGGCAGGCAAAGTGCATTCGAATTCAAATCTTCGCAGTGCCCGAAAATCCAGATTGTGAATCATTTACAGAAGGCTAATGAAACTGAAAGAATGTCGAAATGGGGAAAATAAAACAGAATATCAACAACAACAACAACAACAACAACAACAGTGCGCAACAACAATGAAGGAATATGCTCTCCGCTTGAAACACACTGATAACTCTTACACATAAATTCCATTCACAATGTGTATTTTTGCCGCGAAAAGATGCGATGAAGAACAAGCTCGAAAAATACGAGAGATACGCAAAGTCGAAATCAAAAGTTAATAACATTGAATTAGGAGGCACTCTCCGTGGTAAACACATCAGCCAAATTGTTGTGAAGTGAATGCGCGATTTAAGCGTGGCCGTTGGCAGCACCATTAAATTGAGCCAGCCATCCCAGATCGGCATCAAGCTACACGAAACAACTAACAAAACATGTCATGACGTTGAACTTTTACTCATATTCAAACCGGTACTACAGCTACTATATGCGCTCGTGTATCGTAAGAACGTTGTGTCTCTTTTTTTGCACAATGTGCGATCATCACATCACACGATGACCGTAAGCGGTTTTCCTTCGATCAGTTCGGTTTTGTATCGTTTCGTTGCAGCCAGCGCTTGTTTGTTGTTGTCCAATTCTTTGGAATTCCTCCAGTGCACTATCAAAGGAATGTGCTGCGTACTTCATTTTCTTCTAGCTGCCCCACTAATACGCAAACGGTAAGAGTATCGCGCGCGTGTGTGTGCGTATATTCAACAATGGAAAGAAAAAACAAAACTGGTGGAAGGCAAACGAAGAATGGAACGGAGTCGAATCGAATCGAGACGGAATGGTTTTGATTCGACTGGGTTCGGCGTAGCAATCCGCCGCTAGACGTGCGAGAGCAGATCTTAAAAAGAATGCGATCGAAATGCAATTCACTAACTTATTTGATACGGCAGCTAAATGAACGATCATTGAATATGCGGACACACATTGAGATTTCGTTTGTGTGTTGTTTAAACTTTATTCCACACACACTGCGTTAACATAACATTTGCTGTACATTCACATGAGATTTTTTCATTTTGTTCTGTTTATGATTCGCTACTTGTCTTATGCGTTTCGAAGGAAGTCGGCCTTACACTATGTTGCAAATATGTTGATTTGTAGCAAGCATTTCTAATTTTCGGTGACTGCGCCAAAATCAAAATAAAACTAAAACAACATTGTTCCTTATTTTGAACTTTGAAGAATGCTATGCATTACTATATACTGAATTAATTCTCATTAATAATAAAACCACACCACACCAAACAGAGGTATTTGTGTTACTCGTTTGCTACGCTTACACATTAATCGTTTATTCGTTCAGTCGGTCCATAAAACCGCAAATTTTTCTAAGAAATGAGGTTCATATATGCACACACACCGACAATATATGTTACGATTTGCTTAGTCGCCGTTTGGTTAGTGTGTCGTATTTGTTAGTGTGTTGCTTCGGTATCATCATCGTCATTATTATTTACAAAAGCCGCATCAACGGCGGCGATCACATAGTGTTACAGCACTCACAGAATACCATATTAGGTTTTTAAAAAATGTTTTGCTTTATGATAGCATTCTTCTGGCAATTTTAAATGTGAATCCACTCTTTTCGAATTCCCTTCACTCATACCTGCATTTCGTCTGATGAGCGAGTGCGCCTTGCCCGCTTGTCATTTGGTTCATCATTCAATTTCCACATGAAATTGACAGCAGTGCATCTTTGTCTTTTTAGTTTCTGTAAGTCTTTTGGTTTGCCTAAGTCCATTACATTGTGTAAGTCTAGTTGTATACTATTGTATACTAGGTGCAAATTGTAGCAAATTAGTGGGGAATCGGGGAAATTTCGGGGTGGGTCTAGACGATTGGGGCCGGGCCAGACGACTGTCCCGACTTACCCGTCGACTTCCCCATCGACTTCCCCGCCGACTTCCCCGCCGACTTCCACCTATACCCAGCCGACTTAGCCAGGGTTGGACCCAGTTTAGGGCGATTCCCCATCAATTTGGTCAGTTTCCTCACAAATTTGGGGCGATTCCTCATGGATTTGGGTGCCCATTTTGCGACTTCCCCGGCTTCCCCGACTTACCAGACTTACCCGACTTACCCAACTGAGCACCCCCAGTCCCCACCGACTTGGCTCAGGGAGGACCTAACACCCAAACCCACCCAAACTTAGCGGTAATGTACCAAGTCAAGGGGGCCCAACCTACCGAACCCAGCCCAAGGGGTCCGACCTAGAGGACCCACCTGGAACCCACCTAGGACCGACCTAGGACCGACCTAGGACCGACCTAGGACCCACCTGGGGTCCATCTAGGATCACGGTCAATCCAATCGAATAAACGTTTCACTTCGTCAATGGTTTGCTCACGAGTACTGGCCACTTGCGAAGTTACAAGTTTGAATAATATTGCTCAAAGTTCATTGCTATCTTAACTTGGACGAATTTTCGTATCTTTCTCTCCCCTCATCTCTCTCTCTCTCTATTTTTTACGATGGACTGCATCGCCAGACGGCAATTTATCACACATGTGTGCTAAAAGTATTAAGTAAATACATTAAAAATGGCTTGAAGCAGTTCTTTTTCATTTAATAACGGTACTTACCTCATGCCATTAACTTGTGGACGCTTTGAGGAGACCCATGTGTTTGTTCATTTTGTATTTGCCTTTAAAATAATAATGTTGAGTGGCTTTTGTGTTTGGATCCTAATCAAAATTTCGGCTTGTAGTCTAAACCATATGTATTTTATTTCTCATTCGCTAATGACTCGTTTTTTTTCTCATTGCACTTGCATAATCCCTTTGCTTTCCGCTTAATTTTTTGTTGCTGTTGCATAAATGGAATCATCCATTTTCATCATTTTCTTTTTTGTTTCATTCATCTTTTTCCTTTCTATTCGTATGATCGTTTTCTTTTTATTTTTGTTAGTAGTTCAACAAGAATTGTTATTAGCGGCATTCCACTTCATGCTCGCTTTGATGATATCGAACCATTATTAAAACCTTTCGGTAAAGTGGAACATTGCGACGCAGTGTCTAGTAAGGATCCAAACACTCAAACTGTTCACATTACATATGAAACAGTCGAACAAGCTCAAAGGTACTTTTTGGCCGCGGATCTTTTTCCCCTCAAAACAAAAACAAAATCTTTTGTACAAATTCTAAATAGGGCAATCTTTTGGCATTGTGATTAAGTTAACTTTTTAATAAACTTATTTTGAAACAATCGTACACGAAAAATCAACAAACATTAATTCGAAATGTTCTTTTCTTTTTCGAATTTTAGAGCTGCTGCGGGATTAAATGGCGTTGAGTTCGAAGGTGGAAAGCTTCACGCAGAATCGTTGGAGAAGCAAAGGCGTGGTCCTCGCAACCGTGGCCAATATCCAGCACTGCCTGGAGGTGGAGGACCCGGCCGTCAAACCGATTTTCCACTGCGTTTGCTCGTTCAGAGCGATATGGTTGGAGCCATAATTGGTCGTCAGGGTAGCACTATTCGCCAAATTACCCAGCAAAGCCGTGCTCGTGTTGACGTGCACAGAAAAGATAATGTTGGCTCATTGGAAAAGGCAATTACAATCTATGGCAACCCCGAAAACTGCACAAATGCTTGCAAACGCATTCTCGAAGTGATGCAACAAGAAGCTGTTAATACCAATAAAGGGTGAGTTCTGGCGACTCTTTCGCCCAGAGGTAGTGTTGGATTCGAACGTTCATTTGTAATTAAAAAAATATTATTTTGTTCGTTCGTTCGTTCGAAAATGTTCTTTTGAAAAATTGAATGTTGTTCGGACCGAACAACGAACAAAATGATTTTTTTTAATCATGTCGAACGGTCGAACAAGCGTTCGAAAGTGTTCGACGGCCAAAACTACCCACAGGTTGTGGCTTGACCACTTATTTCTTAAACGAAATGTTCATTGACTCATTGCTTTTAGGAGTGAGATTGTATTGAAAATCCTTGCTCACAATAACTTGATCGGTCGCATCATCGGAAAGAGTGGCAACACAATCAAACGCATCATGCAAGACACTGATACCAAAATTACCGTTAGCTCCATTAATGACATTAACAGTTTCAATTTGGAACGCATAATCACGGTCAAAGGCTCAATTGACAGCATGTCTAAAGCCGAAAATCAAATTAGCTCGAAACTGCGTCAAAGCTACGAAAACGATTTGCAAGCGATGGCACCACAAAGTATAATGTTCCCAGGACTACATCCAATGGCAATGATGTCGACCGCTGGAAATGGCATTGGCTTTGGGCCAAACCGTGCTGCTGGTGGTGGTGGTGGTGTTTATCCTGGATCTGGTTATCCAATTTACCAGCCGCCAGCTGGATTGCCACCAGGTGCAAATGATATTCAGGAAACCACTTACTTGTATATTCCAAACAATGCTGTTGGCGCTATCATTGGTACTAAGGGATCTCATATCCGCAATATCATCCGTTTTTCATCGTCATCAGTTAAGATTGCTCCACTCGAGGCTGAAAAACCGATTGAACAGCAACCCGAACGAAAAGTCACCATCATCGGTAGTCCGGAAGCTCAATGGAAGGCACAGTACCTGATTTTTGAAAAAATGCGCGAAGAAGGTTTCGTCACTGGCACAGACGATGTGCGATTAACAGTTGAAATTCTTGTACCTAGCTCACAGGTAAATATAAATTTATTGAAAACCTTGAATATAAAATTGATCATCAGAATAGTTGCTAATTGCTTGAATTTGTTTCGATAGGTTGGTCGTATCATTGGTAAAGGTGGTCAAAACGTTCGCGAATTGCAACGTGTAACTGGTAGCATAATCAAACTTCCAGAACACGGAGCTCTGCCAGCCGAAGAAGAAACGACCGTTCACATTATTGGACCCTTCTTCAGTGTGCAGGTAAATATATATATAGATTTTTTTTTTCAGAGTGTCATCATATGTGCTTTAAAACGATTTAACTAACCTCACTTTTTTTCCTGTCAATTAACAGTCGGCACAGCGTCGCATTCGTGCTATGATCTTATCAACTAATCCGCCACCGGCGCCGAAAAAGAGTCAACGATCAGCTAAAGATTCCTCACCAAGCGGAGGTCCACCATCACAAGCGCCGCCACAACAGCAACAACAAGCAACACCACCAAGCTCCCAATAATTTGCGTAAAAACCATATTCTATTTTTCATATAACATCAATGAAATACCAGCAAAACAGAAATCTGTTCACAATTTTCAATTCAACAATCAACAATAGAAAAAGATAAACCAAAATCGTACTCCAAGCATGGAAAAAATAATTTCACTATAAAAAAAACCCAATAGTCAACAATTTCATCGTCTCTTCCAATTCAAATGATCAACACAAACAGAAGAAAATCGTTTAAAAAAAAATTATGTATTCGTTCACAAATTGGTACTTATTCCCTTACCTTTTTCGCTTGAAGCAGGAAACTTGAAAATAAAACTGAATGAATAATTGCTGAAATGCATAGCGAAAAATAAGAATCCCAAGTCAAATGAAAATTATTTAGATATCTTTTGAAAATGAATCATGAGTTTGTCAACCAACATATATGTATTTATAAAAAACATTGTTTGTGTACTACCGTAAAGATAAGTTATTTGAGCCGTGGTTCATTTTGATTAATGGAATTTTATTCATGGAATTGTACTAAAGATAACTATTTAATTCATTGATTCATGTTAATGCACTTGCATTTCAGATGGAATAATCTTTGTGTAGATTCCTCCATTTGTCACATGCAAATCAAAATTCAAATCGATAAATAAAATGCTGAACATTGAATCAAAATCCACAACATCGTTCGAATGATCATTGAACTCAAATCAACAAATAGTTTGAGGTTATGAAAAGTTATATGGAACGATTGAACGAATTCGTTCTATCAAATTCTCTCCAAATGCTTCATTTTCTGGAAGAAAGAAAAAAAGCCAACATCCCTCGACAAACTAAAAATAAAGTACAGATATACTTGCAAGAATCTTTTATTCGAACTGCCACTTGCAACAGATCATGACTCATCTGTGGCCCATAAGTTCAATGATTTCAAGCACTTCGTGCAAATGTTGAAAATAAGAAAGAAAAAAAGAGAAAAAAAGAAATACGCCGATTTTTGAGAGCCGAAGTAAAAAGTTGCATGATTTTTGGTTTTTCCAACCTTTTTTTTTTCAAGATGAATTTAACAATTTTATCGATCACATGGCATATTTCAAATAACCACAATCCTGGCCACCGAAATACACACACACATACACAAAACAGCCGAATAAAGTAGAGAAATCAAATGCAAATCGCATGAATTACCGCAAGTTTATCGCCATAACAACCAATTCATATTTATTGCCTTATTTTAACCGGTGCTCCAATGAGATAATATAATGAAATATTAGCCTAGAATACTTTTTATAATGATTTTTATGGAGGCATAAACATCAATGCTAACTTTTAGACAGGATTGAAAAGAGATGTAAATGTCATAAGATGTTGAAATATTTATTGCATTTGCTCCCGTTTTTTAAAAGACAGATTGTAACGTAATCTAATAATCACCCTGGAGTAGTTGTAGTAAATCACACTGCTAGTTTTACTTCTTGTAATTTTTATCCGTTTTTTTTTTTTCATTTATACAATCCCAATTTCTTATTCTCAGTTTTAAGTGTAAATACGTATAACATGAAGTTTATGTTTATTATTTTATATATGCGGAAAGGGGTCTACCGGAATTGTTCGACACAGTGTCTCATTGAATTGATTGAACGTGTTTCGATGCAGATACGGGATTCCATATGTGAAAAACACTCCCCACTTCTTTCTTAATGTATCTGATTGATTTGTCTTGCGTCTCGATTCTGATTTCATAATTAATTTACATAATTGTAACATCTATTATCGTAATTTGAAAACCAAAAAAACTTTGGCTTAATATTTCGGTCTTATTTCGAGAAAAAAAAACTAAAAAATCTAATGAAAACAAAAAGAAATTGTGAACAATCGTTCACGACCAGAGAATAAAGAAAAGGCATGATACTGAAATTATCAGAAGTAAATCAACATAATCAAGAAATAAACGTTTGTTTAGGCGTTAGGAACAGTTTGAAGAAAAAAAATGCGTGTTGTGTATGGTGGTTCATTTCAATGTTAGCATCGGAATTTCCAATCGAAACAACTCCAATGCGTGAGCTGGTTTCAATCGGAGCAAAGAAGAATTCATCGAACTTTTTGTTTTTTAGAAACGAAACAAACTATAACGAGAATACCTCATTGCAAGTGCATTATTTTACAAACAAGTAAATATTACTAGAAATGGCGAATGATTCTTTTCGTCCCGAATGAATGAAAGAAACATTTGTTGAGAAGCACAAACATCACCTCATTTCTGTTTGAAATATGTCATTTTCATCATAAGACTTTTCAATTTTAACCAAGTTATAGCATTTGCTTTTTTTCCTCTGGGAAAAAATAAATTCGAATGCATTCAAGTATTTGCGAACAGCATTTACTGGGTGCTCGAATCGAATCGATTTATATTGATGAATTGTTGTGAAAGTCATAGATTGTTTTGAATAAAAGAAAACCTGCAAAAATTGAACGAATCAAATTTTCTGTTAGAATCGGTGAACAAATCACGATGACCAATTTTAAAATGTTGTCTCTACATCTAAAACTCTGTTCCGTATGCTTATCCAGAGACTTTGTTCAATTAACAATGACAACGTCAAATATGATTGAATGGATGAAATGAACGAAACGAAAGTGAATTTTTATGTCACAAACTCACTGTATTGATGAAGGAAGAAACATATTGCTCAAACAATCTACACGACGAATGACAAACGGTCTACCAATCAAAGTTTAACATCTCTTTGACAATGTGTGATTGGGTTGAGGAATCAAATAAGTATTTATTTTAAAGAAAATAGAAGCCCCCAACTAGACTATTAACTTGCTGAAATTCAAAAATGCGTCGAGAGACGGCAACAAAAAAAGGAGAACTTTTGAGCACGACGCAGATAAAATAAATGTCGATGAAATGAAATTCTACTTAAACAAAATACTTTTTGAAAGAAAATTGAACATGAAATTGAAGTCTAAAAAATTGCTCCAAAAATGACGACCATGATTTCAATCAAGAAAACAATATCTTAAATTAGTAATGGTAAGGATAAGTTTAAAAATATTATTTTATTGGAATTATTTTTGATATGAAATAACAAACGAAATTGTCGAAGAAATTTTAGCGTTATTGCTTCAAGAGCAAAAAAAAAGATTGGCAAAAGAAGTGGAAAATGAAAAACAATAGAACGAAAGAGTGAGAGTAATAAACGAAACTAAAACGGGAATAGGGATAGACAGAAGGAGAGAGGAAGATGAAAACCATTTGATAAATTAGCTGTTCGTTTTCGAATTTAATGAGTAAAAATTATAGAGGCTATTTATCGTTAAAAAAAATTTGATTAAAAATGGTAAAAATGCTTGAAAAAAATGGAGAAAAATGAAAATTTTAATTATTTAATGAGGACGTTGTTTAATTGTGCCAAGATGGAATTACCGTGAGCTAGTGTGATATGGCATTTAATGTTCGTAGAGGTGAAGAAAAAAGTTGATAATGAGAAATGATGAGAAAACCTATACGTATTTTTGATAAATTAAGTGAAAATTTTTATACATTCTAGGCGCATTTTATCACAATTCAAATGTGATCATGTTGAATAGTTAGTCGGGTAGATATTTTTTTGTCTTTTTGAGTTTATTTAAAATGAAGAAACAAGGAAAATGTTTTTTGGATTTTTTGAGAGTGTTACTGTACAAAATGGAAATTATATAAGAAAAAAAGAGTGTAAGAGATTTTATGAAGTGATACCAAAGTTTAGGCTTACTTTAGATTTTTTCTTTGAAAAATTAATAATTCCATTAATTTCGGTTTCGTTTCCAAAAAAAAGAAGAAAAAAAAACATCAATAGATCTTGGACGAGAATTAATTTTAGTTCTGCGTCCAAGCCGGATAAGGAAAAATCTTAAGCACTTTTCTTTTGGAATATTTTTATGCAATTTCGCAAACCGAATGTTACAAACAGTGTTCGGTGCCGAGTGTGCAAGTTTTCCGCAAATTGCATACAATTTTCTAAAAGTTGAAATCATATAATTTCCAGATAATATACATGACACCAACGAAATTACTACAATTTTATTTCGTTTTGCTTTGAACATGTTTTTTTTCTTCGAATAATTCATTTTTTCAAATTCATTTATAATTTCCCTTTTGATTTTAATTTTGGACAAATAGCAAATCCATTTGCATAAAAAGCATGTGTTTGATTGAAAAAATATAATCCGAACATATTCTCGCGTCTATAAGAAACAAAAAAAGGAGAAAAATAATCAGACTCACCAAACAGCCACTGCCAACAACACCAGACTCAAAAATCGTATAACAGACTAAACATGGATTTCCGCCAAATTCCAGAGATCAGCTCAGCTCATATTGGCTATCTAAGCCGGTATGATCAGCTCCACCATACTGAATTTTAAAACAATGAAGGACACAAAAAAGAAAGTTTCGAAAATCGACTCGTTGAATTTCACTTATAGTAAAAGAAAATACGATAGATTTCACCTAAAGAAAAGCAGAACAACCGAAACGAAATCCGTCAAATACAGCAAACACAACGCCCGTTTAGTACCGTAGAAAAGGAACCAACATTGAATTACTCGATCAGACGAACTATTCGCGTTATATTCTGTTCATATGTGCGTAAAAACCCAAATTTAAGAAACAGTCAGTTTTTTTCCATTGCGATATTTTGATATTGAAATTTGCATATGATTGCTTTTCGAATCGCTTACCATTTTACGGGCATGTTTTTATCTCGAGAGAAACAGTCGGTACAAAGATTGAAAAGTACAAATTTTAGCTCAACAATCGACATATTGTGCAGAAATAATCACCATCATTGGACAATATATACAGAACGAAAACTCAAAAACTCTTTCCAATCAAATTATATTTCCGTAAAATCGTTGAACAGAATCTCCTTGAAGTGTTGACCTTCCCAAAGCAGATTAATAAATTCATGTATTTGTACCAGGGACCCATTCATTCGTAAGCAGGATGATCAAATAAAATTTTTAGAAACAAAGTCACCGTCAAAATATGAAATGAACATCCCAAAATAAATAAGATGAAAGAAAATACGCTTTGAACGATATTCACACTCGATGATATCACCATTGATCGAGAAGCTCACATGAAAAAAAGATGAAGTAATAGAAACAGCTAAGAAGAGAATGATACAAACGTTTTAATTTCCCGACGCCTTTGAAAATTGAACCACACATAAAACGGAGAAAATGTAGATTTTTTGTGTTTGGTAATTATGCCTAATCAGAGATTTGAAGAAAAAGAGAGAAATTAATACGAATCGAAACCAGAACGGAGAAGATCAGCTTCCTATTATGGAGTGCTTTGATCATGTACTTTTGCTCGCTTAACAAAAAACAAAAACAAAGAAACAATTAAAATGACAAGAAAATTCAAATAAAGTTTTATTAAAACAACAACAAGAACAATAAAGTAAAAAATGGAATCAAATGAAAACTCATGGATTCGAAAATATGCTGGTAACATTCACAGAAATAGTTGTTTGAACTAACCGTCAATTTTCGCAAACAAAATTTGAAAAAGAGAAAGCATAATGAATATTTTAAAAATTAACCTATGGAGATAAATGAGTGTCAAGAAAGTTGAAAAGAAAACTCAAAAGACAACCAATTTTTAAGAATCACGACCAGAAACATTTCATAAAATGGAACAGTGTTTTTTTCACACGTTTGTTTTTATGTTTTCATCATTGCGACACTACGCAGCAGTTCATTCGAAAAAAAAAAGAAAATAAACTCGATCAACAAAATCGCGCCCATTGACTCGATTTGATCTAGATCGAACAGAATCTGCCAAATGAAATTCCATTTTTTTCTTCGTTTATTACGATGGTGTTTATATTTACGGCAAATAACTGCAAACATTAACAACAAGAAATTGTGTCGCTTTTTTATTTTGAAACATAAGAACAATACAGTAAACTAAAATATTTAAATATAGTAATAGAATCAAGTAACGTAAAATTAATATGTACTAAATTCATAAGACAGAAGGCTCCGATTGATACACAAACGATTTGCAAAGAAATGATTTTGTTTTGCAGAAAAAATGATCAATTCAGCGAAGAAGAAAAAATCCTCGGTTTCATGCACGAATCCAAATTAATAGTGAAACAACGAATAAGTCGACAGCAGAATTTGATATTTGTATCTGGGCTCATCCAGCTGAGTGTCTTACAAAAGGAAGAAATTTTGGACCTTTAAATTTGTGAGAGTATTTTCATAAAAATCTTTCAAGCGGTGGTCTCTGGCTGAGTCCAGCTCCAGATATTTATTCAGCTCAATATACGGTCTTGTCGACATTTCCCAAGTGATATTTCCACGTTTCCACGTGTCTCAATATAGAGTCAAGATGGATTGTAGGTTGAGGTCGTATCGGAGACTGAACTACACTACAAATGACTTTCAGCTTCTATCTGTTGACGCTCACAATGGGACATACTGCAAAGATCATATTTGTGTCGTCTAATCATCGAATGACACATAAAGTACAGCATAATCGTTTTGACACCAGTCAACAGATTACAGAATCACCTTCTTTTTTGCAGAAACAAGAAAAACAAAATAAATTGCAACGAATGTCTCGTTTTGTTTTCTGTAGGGGGTTTTGAATCCCCTTCTTTAATTTTTTATGTTCACTTCAATAATATTATGTGTTTCATTCATTCGAAATTAGGTACAGAACGCAGTGTATTCCGCTAAACTTGGAATTGGTTTTGTGTCTAAATAAAAGAACACATACTTTTCTTTTGTTTCCCTTTTTCGTTAAGTGTTTGTTTTTCACGCGAAAATATATATTAGTTGTATTTGTCATTTGAACGAGATGTTTTCAAATTCCATAAATAAAAATGAATGAAAAATGCATGTTTTATAGGGAAAATTCTATTTATTGTTAGAATGAGAATAAAAATAGTAATGAATTTGCAGAATAAAACAGAAAATTATTAATAATCAACAATGATGGATAAAACAGTCTATTTAGAGATCAGTAAAATTGCATTGCATCTTTTCTTTCAAATAATTACAAAAAAATGAACTCATTTTAAATATCCAACTAGAGTACAGCAAATGGATAACAAGAAAAAAAGAATTAAGCATCAAAGGGATTACTTTTAAAATGTGTTTTTCTTTTCTCTAAACGACAGGAATGCAATTATAATTGTTTTAAGTTGGGAACCATGAAATAGAATCAGTTTGTAGCTGCTGCCAAGCGGTTGAAAATACTTTCAAAATGCATTAAATGGCCTGCCTGTGTGATAATAGTTTATTTTCTGGTCATTTATTGTATCCTCAGTGCCCATCAACAAAATAGGACAAGAAAATAGTAAGAAAATGATCTTATAAAATAGAATTGTTTTATATTTGTTGCGAATCAAAGAAGCTTCCGATCAAATAAACCGGTTTTGTTCCTGTAGTAATCCAACCCATACGAAATACAATAGATAGCGATTCGACACACATTCAATTCGTTTGGGACGATGATGATGATCCTATGTGATTTGGGTGCGTGTGGGTATGTGTATGCAAGCCCATCATCGGATCGCCATACACATTTACAAATTTTAGCCAGCCCAATACTTCCCAACTCCAATTTTAAATTGTTTTTTCTGTTGAATTTTTCTTCTTTTAAATTATGTTATAGTCTGTACCTATATTTATACTTCATCTTTTATATACCTCCTAAAACGGAAAATTTCAACACAAAAATGAAAAAAAAGAAAACTACATAAAAAAGCATTGTATCCATTTTATCTTCTTTCTTATAATTTAAATACATTTCTTTTTGTTAAATGAAAAACTACCTCAGAATATGTCAAAAGATTAATGAAAGTAAAAATGAACGTTTTACCTACTAAGTTAATAATTTTACAATAAATATATCTAGAGTATCAATAGGAAGCATGAAAAGAAAAATATTCTACCATATAAATTTGTTTCCCATATTCAAAAAAAAAACAGACTTGAAAGTAAACGCATGGAACCAGAAAGATTGCACTGCAAACAATACACACCGGGGAACATATCGACGTGTTCTATTGCACAATTTGCACGTTTTTCTTTTGTTTAATAAAACTGGCCAACTAAAATGGTGTCCATGCAAGTTAAACATGAGTTTGCTGTCAACTTTCCTTAAAAAAAAAACCGATTCACATAAAATAAACTATGAATATGTAATAAGCATTTAAAATTTGATTCAATGTCAGTACAGTACATAGCGTATGTAAATGAAAAAAAAACAACAAAACACATAATTATTAACGAAACGGATAAATTTGTGAAAGACGTGAATTTAATCGAATGATGATGAAAAAAAAAGAAAAAAATGACTAGTATATCAGAGAATATTAACTCTAGTAAATTACAAGTAAAACATACAATACAACACAATACAACACAACAAAAATCCATTACCAAGAGAAAGTCGAGGCGAAAGTATACGCTAAGAAGCGTTAAGTGGTCTTTGCACTTTACGATTTCAAGCCGATAATAACAACACTAAAGAAAAATAGCAATCAAGTACAGCACTTTACTGCCCAAATTTCTTTGACAAAACAACTTTGCGAAGAAAACTATAACAAGTAACTAAACTAAAACTTTCAATGGTGTCATTGTGTAACGAAACGAGAAAAAATCGATTTTCTTTTTTGGGATAAATTCTATTGCTATTTGCTAATAAATGTATCAGTTTAAGAAACACATTATTAATCAGATAAATAGTATAAACACTTTTTCTTTTCAATTTATTTACAAAATACAATAGAATAATTTTATTTTTGCCTATTCGCTATTCCAGCTCCGCTGATAAATATTCAAACAAGAAAAAAAATACACACCCTCAACACAACCGAAACGAAATAAGCGATACACATTGTAGATTTCAAACCCTATTTAAATATATAAATGTACTACATATTATTAGTAATTGTATGCAAAGAAATTGTCCAAATTTTACTTTAATTTTATGAATAAATATATTAATTATTTTTTTTTTAAGAGAAAAACAAATGCTTGTTTTAACTTTCCAATGATTGGACTTTTTTCTTCTAAGACTTAATTGGCTAAATCGAATTTAATTCTGAATTAGGACTGAATTTCAAATTTCATTAGCGCGTTTGCATTGACAGATCCAGAAGAACTGACAGCTTGAAGAGTGACAGCTTCGATCAACATTCATGTTGTAAACGTCAAAGTCACAGTAAGCATGCCACAAGGTGACAGAACGGTTGAATAAACGATGGCAGGAGGGAGGAGACAAACATGCGCAATATACCTGTCATTTCGGTATAAGCGTTGCACCATTGATGAATTAAAATTGTAAGTTCATGACGAGTTAAACTTTGAAATTCATTTGGAATTATATTTGTTTCCAAAATAAGCACGACATCAATGAATTGAGTATGAAAATCCAAGTTAACCGTTAATTCAGACCGCATATAGTAATGAAGGGAGGCTCAATGTCGGCACTTCAGTGGTTTTTTGGGTAATTTTTTTTATCGCGACAGAGTTGTCAGCATTGATTTCGAATACATCTGCTTGTATGTTTGTTCACTTTTTTCCACTCGTGCAAGAGTATAAATTGGCGCTTTACTGCCAGAATAATACGGTGTGCTCAATAGTGCGGTTGTGCTGAAAATACTTCGGAGCGTAGCGCCTGTCGAATTTCCATTTAATTTTAGAATTGTGAAAACGAGAGGAAAAATTTTACAAAAATGTCGTTGATGCGAATGACCACAAGTAAATTAGCTGAGACGCAGGTCAGTTGAAAGAGCAAAGTAGAAAAAAATCGTTGGAAACAAATTGAAAAAGAAACTCAAACGAATGGGAAACTTATAACCAAAGAATCTATTGGTTCTATTTGATTTTCATTTATTTGGAACAAATCGATACTAACATTTTTCGGAAAACGGGGAAAAATTAAAGTGTTATTTCTATTCTTAAGAAGAAATGGTGTAGAACAAAATAACGGAAAATTGTTTTCGATATATTTTCGTGTTCAATAGTTTGACGAAGTCGGGCCGAACGTGATGCCTACGTGGGGATAGCCCATAAAATGAATTACATAACTAGTTCTTCTTCATTTTGACCAATCAAAACCATTGGAGATCATAGAATGCAACTTGAAAAAAGAAAGTGTGGAATTTTGGAAGTGTGCCGTTGATAGAATTGAATTTCAAAATCCTAATTTTTTTTTTTCCCGTCGACAAGGTCGTACTCACATGATATCATGAGCATGAGATACGAGATCCGTGAAAGTGATTATATAACAATGTGAACGCATCAAGCGGCAGCGTTCTAAGAAAAATTCAGTATTCCACAAATAATTCATCCGTTTTCAAGCGACTTTCCAGTATGCGTTTGATGCGCGCATGAGAATTAAGTGATTAATTTCAAACAAATTCCGATTTTATTTGTCATTCATTGCAATAAAGAGTCCTATATTTGGTATACTGGTTTCAAAGAACCTTGGTTCGATAGTAAGATGGGCCAATAACTCGGTTGGCTGGAACTGATATCTCGGTTGTGTGCTTTCAAAGTCCAAAAATCAAGTCAATGCTATTGACCATAAATGTTCCGAAAGGGGCCGGGTTCGAAATCGGTGCAACGAACACGCATTCAGATTGTTTGAATCGTAGCCAACTGTGTGTTGTGTTTGTGATATGCGTACGTGATCACAAATCGAATGTTGTGTGTCACACAGAGGGCATACATTTCATCGCTGAATTCGCCAATATACATTTGAAATTCAGGCGTCAAGCGTATGCAAAGTCATGCTCGCATTATTTCAACTACGAAATTTTCTTTTTCTACATTTTTTCTTTTTACATTATTCGAAAACTGATAAGATGAATTTTATATCACGTTTTTTGTAGCGAGGCGGCAACAATCATCATTCAATGGTATTGTAACAATCCAATGTCGACACACGGGATTACGTTTGTTGTTTATCAAATCGTTCATTTCACACTCACAGTCAATTACGAAACTACATACAGCTAAATACGAGAGAACATTGTATAATCGTTGTTCTAGTATGTCATTGGAAATGACATACTCACAAACTGGTTAAATGATGAATCAAACCGTGTTTTGATCACACAACAAAACATTTCTTACAACTATTTGTTTTTTTTTGTCGCTATATTTGTCAAGCGAAAATCTTCATGGATATTTATTAAATTTAATTGAAATGAGATTAAACAAATGGAAAGCGTTCTGCAGAGCATAGTCACATATTATTGGCGAACTACACTTGACTCGTTTCCGGGTGTATTCAGCCAATGTCACTCATCTGCCAAGCAAACATTACATAAACAAAATACAATAATCGATATGTCACGAAATCGCATCCGCAATTTTGAACATCAAGCATCGGCGATGCAAGTATTGAGGTTTCAATGTTCCGCAGTTATATTTTTCTTCTGAATATCTTTAAATCAATTGGATTGCTGCCGCACGCGGGACCTTGTTGCGCCCTCGATGAGAATTAATATCAGTCGCCCTTTGTGAGAAAAAGACAAAAACAAAATGCGCACACCAGAGGTTGGTTGCACATAAATTTATTTATATAAATTTCAAATATCAAATAAATTTATCCGATATTTTTCATGCGTTGTGTTGTTCTGACGCATTTGCAGTACATAAACGAGACATCGGCTGTTGTATTGACAGCCAGCTATTCATCGCAGGAATGAGATTTTCGTTTTGTTCATTTACCGTTATTTCTCAACAATTCTGCCACTATGTCACTACATAGTATATATAGTCCATAAGAAATGTGCAGAGACGAAAATGTGCGCCATTTAGTTTTACATTGCCGATACATTAGTTATAGATATTTTTGTTTTGTTTATTTTTTGTCGTTTATAAACAAATCTTTTTGCATTGCCACTGTACGTAGTATATGTCCCTAAGAAATGTGTAGAGACAATGCAAAAAGATATGCAGATTTGTTTCCAACGACAAAAAATAAACAAAACAAAAATCTTTATAACTAATGTATCGGCAATGTAAAACTAAATGGCGAACATTTTCGTCTCTGCACATTTTTTATGGACTATATGACACAGTGGCAGACTTGTTTACAAATATCGGTAAATGAATAAATCAAAAAATCTCATTCCTGCGATGAATAGCTGGCTGTCAATACAACGGCCGATGTCTCGTTTATGTACTGCAAATGCGTCAGAACAACACAACGCATGAAAAATATCGGATAAATTTATTTGATATTTGAAATTTATATAAATAAATTTATCTGCAACCAACCTCTGGCGCACACAAACTAACTCAACTCTACCACACAACAAACATTTTTGTTGGGAATTAGCTAGTGTGGCTCTAGCACAGCTGTTTGTGAAAGTCACCTGTAATTACAAAAATTGAAAAAAGAATTGAGATACTTAGATACATCAATTATCTTTTCTACTGTTTCTATGCATCCACTGTGTAAAATAATTCAATTGGTCTTTAAACATAAAAGTACATTGTGTTGCATCAATTTGTTTAATGCAAAAACATGCGTTGCAATAATCTATAGATGAATGATTGACATTGCGCTAAAGATATATATGTCATAAAATTCAAATGTGACAATGTCTCATTTTGACATAGAATTGGTCAGACGTAAAACTACGCTCTCATGCGTGTGAGCTGTTGATTCGTTATATTGAATGAAATATTCCGTATATGTGAAACTTGCTTGCATACAAATAACCATCCAATATGAAGATTTCGTTATTGTGCATTGTCGCTGCTGCTGCCAAGCATTGCTCACTTTGTATATTTCTCGTTAATTTTATGGTTTTCTTCTTTCTCTCATCTTATTTCGTTTGTGACTCATGCTATACTGAGTTCCTTGATTATACAATCGTACCTACTAGTGTTTTCGACGAACCAAGTACATATTTCTCAATGTGATCCCATTGTTTTATTCGAGTGGTTTCATTTTATTGATATGTTCATTTTTTTTTAAATTTGCACACGAACATGCGGCACTTTCTTGGGAACACCCAATCAAACTCGCCGATATGACACTATCTGTTAAACTTGTTGTTCAATTAAAGTATTTTGTTTATTGTTATCGCGGTGTCTTTCTCTTTTTAACGATCTACGTTTATTACACACCCATTACGTTGATGTCCAAATTGAGTAAATTTCATTCATTTATATAATAAGCCTTTTTTAAATTTGGTAATTTTTTGGAAATGGAATTTTTAATGGAATCATTTCTATTTTCTCTTTCACCACAGAAAACTTTGCCGGCTATTACAACTTTCGTGCGTAACTTTGCTAGCGAGAAATCGTTGAAAGACGTGCTCGCTGAGAAGATTCCACAAGAGCAAGAAGTTGTAAAGGCTTTCCGTAAGAGCAATGGATCAACCAAGGTTGGAGAAGTTACCGTCGACATGGTAAGTAGCAATAACGCACAATCAGAAACCATTTCCAATATCTATATCACAACGGTCATTATCAATTTCACCCGCAAATAAATTGAATTTGATTATGACTGGGGCGCCATGCGCCGCCGAATACATAACGTGAAGTATGCATATGTGATTGAATTCAATCTTGTTTAGGTCGCATATTCATTTTCACAACACTTGATTCATTCTCATTGACTTTGATTAATTCACTTATTCGCATGGTCGCTCCCGACTCAAATGACATAGGCAATATCCATACATTTTGCCATTCTCTTTTGACTCCGTATTCATTGAAAATCCCATATTAGAATACACAAATGCATATCGGTTGTGATGCTGTGTGTACGGCGTTCGCATGATTTCATCCGTCGTCATCTCAAGTTTGGCGGAAGAATAGTTAATCAAGCAAAACCGATATTCTTATTTCGATTAGTATTTTTCCGTAACCGCGTATATATTGCTTGTGCGTAGTAATGAATCGATATGCGACTGCTGATATTTATTCTAGCGATTCCATGTGTCATTCCTCATTGATTTCTAAAATTGATTTTTTTCTTGTAACTGATATTTTTCAGATGTATGGCGGTATGCGTGGCATCAAAGCCATGGTTTGGGAAACATCTGTTCTTGATCCAGATGAGGGTATTCGTTTCCGCGAATTGTCAATCCCAGAATGTCAGAAAGTGTTGCCAAAAGCTGAGGGTGGTTCCGAACCATTGCCAGAAGGTCTTTTCTGGTTGCTCGCCACTGGCGAGATCCCAACTCAAGCCCAAGCCAAACAATTGTCGAAGGAATGGGCTGAACGTGCTGCTTTGCCACAACACGTTGTCACATTGTTGAACAATTTGCCAAACACATTGCATCCAATGTCACAGTTCTCTGCAGCAATCACCGCTCTCAATCATGATTCAAAATTCGCCAAAGCTTACGCTGATGTAAGTATCGACGTATATATAGATTTGAGAAAAGAATGACTTATCCAACACCGAATGAAATTGTAATTGTTAATATGGTTTCTATTTAGGGTGTCCACAAATCAAAATACTGGGAGACAACATACGAAGACAGTATGGATCTTATTGCTAAATTGCCAGTCATTGCCGCTACCATCTACCGTAACACATATAAAGACGGCAAGGGAATCGGCTCCATTGATCCAAACTTGGATTGGTCAGCCAACTATACCAGAATGTTAGGTTTCGAAGATCCAACCTTCACAGAATTGATGCGCTTATACCTTACAATTCATAGGTAAAAATGGTCGCTACTTTCAAATGAAACATTAACACGCAAAATTAATTTAATTTTCTTTTTCATTGTCGAATTCAGCGATCACGAGGGTGGAAATGTTTCAGCTCACACAACTCACTTGGTTGGTTCAGCATTGAGCGATCCATATCTTTCATTTGCTGCCGGTATGAACGGTCTTGCTGGCCCACTGCACGGCTTGGCTAACCAAGAAGTATTGATTTGGTTGCAGAAATTGCAAAAGGAAGTGGGCGACAATGTCACCGAAGATCAATTAAAAGACTTTATCTGGAAGACATTGAAATCGGGACAAGTTGTTCCAGGCTACGGTCATGCTGTGTTGCGTAAGACCGATCCACGATACACATGCCAACGTGAATTTGCATTGAAACATTTGCCAAACGATCCATTGTTCCATCTCGTGTCGACCGTCTACAAAGTTGTGCCACCAATCCTCACAGAATTGGGCAAGGTCAAGAATCCATGGCCAAATGTGGACGCTCACTCTGGTGTTTTATTGCAATATTACAATTTGAAGGAAATGAACTATTACACCGTTATGTTCGGCGTATCACGTGCTCTTGGTGTGTTGGCTCAATTGATCTGGGACCGTGCTCTTGGTTTACCAATCGAACGCCCGAAGTCGTTCTCAACTCCGGCTTTGAAGAAATTTATTGGTGCTAAGTAAATTAACGATAACACAACCGCCGTCGCATTATTAATGCACTGTAAAACAAAACTCACAAAAACGAACTAAATAAAAATGGGAAAAAATATTTAAATTATATCGAATAAATCGTTGAAACTTAAAACAAAAAACCACACAAACACAAATACACACACAAAGTCGATCCAATTGAAAAATGACTATCATAAGCACATTTCTTTTGATTATTTCTTTTCTACTTTGATTAAATATCCGGCTGATATTTTAAATTGGCGTGAGTCAAATATGAATGATTGAATTTGATAATGACGACGAAAAATACATTATCAAAAGATGATAAGATGATATGTAAAGGGCAATTAATCTAGGAAGTAAAAAGTACAGCGGTGACAACAACTCTAATTTAGTCAGATTGTGGGGCACATTTATACAAGTTTGGGCTTTCAAGAGTATTGGATGAAGACTGTTAGTCTGTTAAGATTGTGCATTGAAACCATTTTCACCCGAATTAGTCAATTTTTCACCACTGAAATCATTTTGAAATATTAGTCATGTATCAGGAGACATACAAGTGAAGTTTCATTGATATTAAGATCCGATATACTGTGCTTTACTTGAGAAATGGAATACAAACTGTTATCATAGAGCGAAAGTTTAGAGTAATTAGCCGATTTATTTTGACTTTAGTTGAATGATAATAAAATCAAAAATTCTTCTCAGAAATGTTTATTATCTTGCGTGAGAATTGTAGACAATAAAACCGAATAAAAAATTCTAAAACCAACCAATCCATGTCCGTTTTTTTGCATTTATTGTTATTGCTTCAACATTGTTCTTTTTTATTTTAATTGAATAAAATATTTTTACTCAAAAACGAATCGCCCCCTGACGGTCAATCTGGGAACTAGTAAAATTGCGTGAGAAGGCACGAACGCACTACAGACAGTACCTTTGTTTCATTTGACAGGAGTTTATATAGAGCTGATTGAATACTTTACGTCTCTGGTATATTACACATTTCATACCAATTTAGTTTAACTCTATTGTCTCCCATCCACATTTCAATCCCCGTGAAATCTGCATATTTGTTAGTTAAAATGTCAGTAAACTTCCAAGATGAGGCCGAAGTGAAACAATATTTAGATAACATCGGAATCGAATATCGATTTGGTTGCTATTCGGAGAAAAAACCAGATGGTCGGTATGCAAATATTGGTAGCTTAGTTGATGTAATTTCCACCAAAATAAATGTTGTTGCTGTTTTTCTATGGATTCACTAGTATGTCACTTGCTCGCTGATTATTTGGAGTCTATTCATAAAGATTATGAAAAAGCACGGAAAGTATACCGAAGTACATGTGATGATTATGGATATGCAAAGTCTTGTTTGAAATATGGTAATTACACGTTTATCGGACGCGGCAAGAGTGGTTCGAAGCCAAATCCAGCAGAGGCCTTGGAGTATTATGAAAAAGGATGCAAACTGGGCGATTCAGAAAACTGTTTAAATGCTGGGCTTCTTCTTGTATCACCGAAAATGAACAATAGAAGAGATTTTATGAGGGTAGGATATACCTTATCAACTACATTATTAGAAAAGATTTTATTGAAAAAAAAAAACAAATATATTACGAAATATGCACATGATCCCACAACCACTTGGTTCATTTCAGGGTATGGAATACTTGACAAAGAGTTGCGATTTGAATAATGGTAACGCATGTTTCTATCTCAGTGGACTACATATCAGTGGGGCTGAGGGACCGATTGCATCGAAAGAAACCCAACCACTGATATCATCCACGGAATCAAGCAGTCCAAAATCATCCGTTGTTAAAAAAAATGACTTCATTGTAGAAAAAAATATGGAAAAAGCGTTTACATTTAGCTACAAAGCGTGCGAATTAAATAATATGTATGCGTGTGCAAATTTATCACAAATGTACGCTCGAGGCGAAGGTACTGAAAAGAATGCAGAAAAGGCTGAGATATACAAAAAGAAAGCAATTCAATTGCAAGAAGATGTTAAGAACAGCAAGCAATTATTATTCCAACAAACTTCATAAGCAGAGAAAATTGATGCCATATGCCAACATCATTTTCATTTCCAGTCATTTCGATAGGATTGTATAATATTTTTGTTTAAACAAATGCTTATTTTGCCCAATTTCATTTAACAAATAAAGGCTTGATAGAAACAAAAAAATGAATAAATAGCATAATATCAGTACACCACCATTCCTTAGTAGGTGGTAAGCGTGTTTATTTCAATTTTACTGGAATCAAAAGTAATTGATTTTATGGAATTAGGTCGTGTTGGATAAAAAAAAATCAAATAAAATCTTTGTATACATATGGACATGTATGTGTTTTGTGTAGTCACGAAGATGAATGTGACAGTAAGTGACATTTGTACAGCACCGGTAGTATTAGTATGTGAGTTATATAATGTTTGTGTCTTTTGTAGTTGTCAAATGACTGTAAAATATAACCATCAAATCGTTGTGTTTTCATTAATATCGTCGAATTTTGAATGAAAATTCAAATTTAAATCATGAAACTGCCAAGTAAAGAGACAATTGCACCATATCGAGAAGGATGTTATACACACAAGAAACCCGAAGGTAATGAATGTCACGCAAACTGTAATTTATTTTTATTTAACCAATTTTAATTGAAATTTACCTACTTATTCTTAGATTGCCACATGCTGGGGCAATTTATAAAAATGCAAGAAAATGATTTGCTGAAAGCGGTAAAATTATTCAAAGTCAATTGCGACGAGTATGGATATGCAAAATCATGTCTGGAATATGGAAATGTGGCATTCACTGGTGTAAAAGAGAAAAATGTAAAATCGGATCCAGTGGAGGCATTGAAGTATTTTGAAAAGGGTTGTAGCTTGGGCAGCAGTGAGAATTGTTTGAACAGCGGAATGCTGCTTGTGTCACCAGTGTTGGAGAATACTGCACTTAAGAGAGATCTTCCAAAGGTGAAAATAGAGAAAAACAACTCAGACGGCTTGATGTAAATTTTGAAATTACAAAAGTTTTATTGATGTTTCGATTTTAGGGCATGAATTATCTGACCAAAAGCTGTGAAATGGAGAATGCAAACGCTTGTTTTTACTTATCCGGTATGTTTATGACAGGTTCGATGTCTGGTGCAGACAGTTTAAAATCGTTAAGCAATACAACAACACCCGAAAAACCAGCAAATGCATTTGTAGTCGAAAAAGATATGAAAAAAGCATTTGCATTGTCGACCAAAGCATGCGAGCTGAAGAATTTTTATGCATGTGCAAATTTATCCCGAATGTATGCGCTTGGTGACGGCACTGAAAAGGACTTGGAGAAATCTGAACAATTTAGGAAGAAAAGCGAAGAGTTGCGTGACGAATTCCATCGTCAGAGGATTTTAGCGCAGTTTAACCATCCTTAATAATCTCTAAGTTTGAATTGTTACAGTATATTGTCTAGTTTGTGTAAATAAAAACTTTGAAAGAATTACAAAATCAACATTTGAAATCTACCCACATCCAAAATATTTTACAATAACCCCATTAGTGACCATGTTCCTATTTTAAATCGGATAGATTAATTAACAATTGTTGGCCATTTTCGATATGGGTCGTTGTCGTCAGTATGATGTTTGTTCCGTTTTCATCGTGAATACCTTCGATAATTTTACCATTATCAATAATTGAAGCCACATTTGAACAAATTAGCACATCATCGATAAGTTCGTGATTATAGGGTAGTTCTTCCGTGGACGAAAGAGCCGATGACGGAATGTTCATTTTACACATATTGCACTCAAATACTGTTGTCTTGGTATCAAAGATCTGCTGTTGAGACGGCTGTGGCTGTTGTTCTTGCTGCTGCTGCTGCTGCTGCGAAGCCTTTTCTGAGGAAAATGAGTGTGATTTCATATGAACTTTGAGGCTGCTACTTCCAGCGAATCGTTTTTTACAACATTTGCATTCATGGGTCTTCGTTCCACTGTGTGAACGTATATGACCAGTTAAATGACCCGAACTAGTGAAACCACGATGACAGATCTCGCATCGATATGGCTTTTCTCCTGTATGAGTTCGTTGGTGAATGTTGGCCGTTTCTTGTCGAGCGAAAGTTTTATCACACGAAGAGTGAGAACAAGGATAAGGCCGTTCTCCACTATGGGTTCTCTTGTGTATCGCAAGCGTATTCGATCCCGCAAATGCCCTTCCACAGTTTTCTACATCACAGCGGTACCTTTGATTCGATTAGGACATTAATAAAAAAATATACGAAAATTTTCTAAAATACTTACGGTTTCTCGCCTGTGTGAGTTCTGGGGCATATGTGGTGAAAATCATAGTTAGATCAAATTTATATCAATTTTATCACAAAATAGCAATACCTTAAATGGATCGCCACATAACCACTTTGGGAAAAACCTGAAAATAAATTCGAATATCGATTCAATCATACTGAACCTTTAAACATTGCACATTGTACACACCTTTGGAACAAATTGGGCACTTAAATGGTTTCTCGCCGGTATGAATCTGTTTGTTATGAAATAGTAAATATTGAGATTATATGTAATCTCTTTTCTTTTCTTTGAACAAAAAGATGGCATATTCTAAATAAATAGTAATCATTCTTACTCGAATATGTTTTTCCAAATTGCCCATTTGCGTAAATCCTTTTTTGCACACCTAATCAATATTTAATCAGATAATTTTATAATTAAATTAAATTAAATTAAATTAAATCTAATTTAATTTAATTATCTAATCGGTAATAATTTTGCACATGCCTCGCAAACGAATGGCTTTTCCCCCGTGTGGTAACGCATGTGTATATTCAGAGATCTGGCTTCTACGTAGTACTTTGGACAATATGGACAATTTAGGATTTTGTGCCGTGTATGGTGTTTCATATGCTTGCTCAGGGAGCTCGCCCATTTAAATCCTTTTCCACACACTTGGCAAAGATTGGGCTTGCCGATTACGTTACGCAGTTCACCAGTGTGCTTTTTCATGTGTTTCGAAAGATTGCTGCTTTCGGCGAATGACATACCACACTCAGAATGTGGACAAGTATGCGGTTTGATTGGACTGTGAATTTTCAAATGGCGTTTTAAAATCTTCTTCTCAGCGAACACTTTATGGCAATCGGGGCACTCGAACGAATTCTTTGTTTCATTTTTATTCGCATCTTTTGCTTCATCGGATGTGTTTGTGTCAGTAGTGTGTGAAGATTGCATGTGCGTGTCCAGTTTTTCCTCTGTTTCGAAGTGTAAGTCACAGTTGGTACATTTGAAACTAGATCGAATTCCTGTTTTCAACTTGTCATCCGACAAAATGTCACAGATGAACTCATCTGTTGACATCTTTTTTTCGTCTACATCACTTTCATCGGCTGGAATATCGTCTGGAAGGATTTTTTTTGGCTATGGTTAATAAAAATATATTCGCAGAAGAAGCAAAAGAAGAAAAGACAGATTCGCACAACATACCGAATGTTTCATCGGTCAGGGATACTTGTGCAACATCCAATTTTATTTCATCGAAATAGACTCCGAACGACTTTTGAGGAAGATTTTCTTTTTTCGTTCCTTGGACATCATTCAACAAGACACCATCAACCGCCAATTGTTGTTGAATATTTTCAGAGGCGACTGGTGAGAATTGTGTTTCACTGGGCAAACTAGACAATTCGATTTCCTCCTCAAATGAGCTCGTTTCGATTTCTGACGTTAGGACGTCCAAAACTAGTTCTGCATCCAAATTATCTGTCTCAGTCTCATTGGACTGGAGCTGAAATGTATGCTCCTTCATACCATCCTCCAAAGCAGCTACTTGTACGACGACGTTCTCAACTTTAGGTTGCATAACATTATTCGCTCTAAGACTTGTCGAACCATCTTCGATGTGATTATTGTCTGATGCAGGTGGTAATTTGCCCAGAAAAGATTTCAAAGATTGATCTGACCGTCGACATTGTTGTTTGAACGTAAATGCTCGACTCACTTGCAATACACACGGCACACACATCAATTTCGGCAATCCATCATTGGCGTGTACCTAGAAGATAGCAAAACAACAAACATGAATTGAATAAAAAGTATTACGTGAAAAATATAATTGCAATTCTGCGTCGATACGTACGTCGATATCAGCAACGAAGGATAGCATATTGTCGAGGCAGCTTCCGAACAATGGGCGCATTTCACCATTTTTACATAAGCAACAACGACAAATCTTCGCTAAATTGTTAAAATCTTCGCTAAATTGTGTTGTCATAGTGTGAAATGTGTGGAAATTTTCAGATGAACGCGAAAATTTCAATTGAAAATACTATTTTTCAAAGTAAACAAACAATGACAATGGAACTTTTTCTTTCATACGAAAAAAATTATTTGTTGTCAAAACTTGATGATGACATTCACGTCACATACGTCGGCTGCAAGCCGATATCTGACATTTATTCCAATAGGAACTGAAACGGCTTGCATTTTGCTTCGAAGCCGACGCAAGTCATTTTTCAAAATACGATTCGATTGTACAATTTGAATATGTATGTGCATATGCAGTTATGCACTGATGAAAGGAAACATAGATTCTGACACCAAAAATTTCAGGGAGGGTCAAACCAAAAATTCATTAGTGTAAAATAGCTTTCGGGAAAAAGTGAAAACCTTAAAAAAAGGTCATCAATCATTTTGAAAATCAATTCTATCTAGTGTAAAATCATAAAATCATCCACTTTTAAAAACAAAGTCGAAAAATGTCGATGGGTTCAAAAAATTTCGTGGGGGGTAAAATTTCGGCAGCAGGGGTCAAGATCAACGAGATCAGACTATGTCAGAATCTATGAAAGAAAAGTCTTTGAATTTCAATTTTCCAATATTGTTAATAGTTATTAATTCAAATTTAAAACGTTTCTAAGGTAAATTTGGTCTTCCATAAGGTATAAAAATATGCATTATTTTTTGTACACGAATAGCAATTTACTATAAGTAATGCGGTTCCATTAAATTCACATGTGCAAAATAGAAACAAAAAAGCAATTGGAATTGTATTAATATTGAAATTACAGCAAATTAGAAACCCCGGAATTAGAAAACATCCCGGGGTTTACATCTAATTTGCGGGGTTTTTCTGGTTTTTTATAACAATTTTTGATAGAATTGTAAGAACCTCAGAAATTAGAAAACCCCGCAAATCAGAAATCTAGGGGAATTTATCATTCAAAAGTTCATGAATTCCGGTGTGTTTTGAGCTAAATTCAGAATATCCACTCATATTCACCGATATTCAGTCTTTCTTATTTGACAGTTCAGGCGTTCTCATCAGCCGCCATCTTGAATTCGTCGCCATCTTGGAAATTTGATTCAAAATATTCACAAAATTCACAACATTCACATATAATCGAAATTTTGACGATGATTCAATGAGAAAAATATCCACAATATTCACAAATATTCACATTTCTCAAGCCTTGAATGAAACCCCTAGTCAGAAATGGTCTCGGGACATTTCATTTCTAATTTGCGGGGGTGCACTGTAATTGAATTGAATTATGAGATTGAAGTCAATTGAATTCCAAAGACTATCGCTCAGAAATGTTTTTAAATGATCGTTTTCAATTATTTCATTGTTGTACTTGTTGTTACATTATCAATTTTATGCAAGATTTTTTATTTTGATTTTTTGTCTTGATACAGTTCCAAATGTTCTAATGAAAATATTAATATTCTAAATTACATGAAATCTGCATTTGAAATCATGTTTGCCACAAAGGTGTGAGAACATATTTTATAAAGGTGTAAGACCAATTTATTTCCGCGCGTTTTTTTTTCTTCATCTTTTGGAACCGAAATGGTGATTTATGTTGCTCCCCAATATTTACAGCATGTTTGGTTGAATGACAATCATTTAAATACATACGTAGTAAGTTCGCATCGGAAAATTGTTGCTGATATATGTAAATGAAATGAAAAAGAAGAGATGTTTACATTGTTAATCGGTCATTGTAACCAATGCTGTACAGTACAGTACAGTACATTGTCACTGCACATACGATGAATCAATTGTAACGATGAAATTGAATTATCACAACAATTACGTAAAAATGTCTACTAAGTGCGTATCTGGTGTGCTTGGCTTTGAGGTGTGTCTCTGTTGTTTGTGTTGTTTTGTTTCATCGTTCGTCCCAAACAATATCCAATACAATGATGATTTGATTTACTCAAACGATCACAAAAGTACGAACCGAAAAATCGATTGCAAACCGAGTATCGTTCCAAACTTTGTTTACACATTTTCCCGTACCTTGGACAGAATCTGTTTCGGACCATCTATCTATCGGAATACTTTCAATTGCGCTTGGTTAAGTCTAAATACATCGCTCTTCTCACAAATGATTTATTCACACACAACTGAAAACGCTGTCGTAATATAAAGTATCTCGCAGCACAAAAAATGCACTATCATAAATTGCTCTGCGGAAACGTACAAGTTCTGTCCAAGTACTATGTATGTGTCTTAAAGTTAGCATGTGATATGAAAAGGTTACTCGCTCAAATACAAACTCACATTAATAAAGGCGTGATTTCAATGTGAGCGTTTTGTTGAATGTGACCATTGGATGGCTGACTCGCTCGCTCCATACAATGAAGATCAAATAAAATGGAACTAATAAAATGAATAATACCGTTGTGACTGGTCTCGCGAGAGAACAATATTATCCAGTGAACAATACACATGATAATTTAAAAAAAGAGGCACATAGCGATTGTCGGACCTTTTCGGATACAATTTCATTTCAGGGGAATGGAAACAATTGAGATTTTCTGCCATTAATTCAGTTTTACATCTTTCTCCATTCTCAAGCGTCACACATCGCATTTTTTAGAATCGCATTCGAAACAGTTCAGTTTTGTGGTTTCGTGTGTTCAACACTCAATCGCCTTATTTGCCACCGAGAGCGAGAGACAGGATCAACCAAAATTCATCATATATTACGATCGCTTTGCGGACAGCTTGCCAGCTTGCATTTTTTTTCGAGTGCGCTACTTTGCTCTGCATGTAGTCAAACCAGACCGTTGTGTAAAATAGTTCGTGGTTGATGTTTCGGCGTCAACAGATTTAGTGCGCATACAAATACATAAGAATTGAATACACTGTGGACTGACTGGTGGTTTTTTATTCTCTCGCGTTCTCAATTTCCACCATAATCCGTGCGCGGTTTGTAAATTGATTCGTCTTTTACTGTAGCGAAAACGATTCAACGATTAAGATCAGTCCATATTCGACAGCGACGTTATAAACATGGGTGACAAATGGGCTTTGCTGGCGTTACAAAATGGTTCTGTAAATGGTAAATTCATTTACATCTGTGATAATTTTACCGATTAAATCATTTGAAAAAAAAAAATAACAAGTGAATATAAACGAAGAAAAGAGAACAAAAAAGAAGTTGAGATAAAGGATAAGTTCAGGAAAAATATTAATACGAAACGGATGTCGAATTCACTTGGTTTCAATCAGTTGACAATGGAATTCAACCATTTGTTGCAAAGTTCAATCTGTGGCGTGCCGAGGGCAATAATATGTCGATGTCACGAGGCATTCGATTCAAATGGAGTTACGTATACTAATAAAGTAATCTTGCTGTGTAAAAGGTTAATTACTTCAATTCAAATGAATGTGTGATCGAGCTCATGTCCAACCATGGCAATTACAAATGATCTCCAAGAGCGAGAGAGGGAACGCTCAATTTCGTGTGCATGCGCTCGATACTAAACAAATTTGCACGCATCGACAGATTCAAGCTGGTTCTACGTGGCTCAATGAATTTGAGAGTATACCGTTTATCTTTTTGTTTCTCGTGTGTTCATTTACTCGCGACTAGATTGTTTTCAATAATCGAAAATGAGTTCATTTGTGTTAACAATCATTTAGTTGATTCAGTTCAATTATATCTGTTGTTGTTGTTGTTGCTATTTTTTGTTTGTTTGTTTGTTTGTGTGTTTTGCTCGCTCCTTTTACGGTTACAAGCGGACAAAGTGATGTCGATGCTTCCATTTTATGGATTAAGTTCAATGAGAGAGCATCTCTGAATGGCTGATAAAAAATGATCGAGATAATCGTATGGAAAGATCACATCTTTTATAGTGATACTCAGCAACAGAATAAGAAAAAAAAGTTAATAAAACTAATAAAATGAACGAATCAAGTGAAGTACGGATACTGTTCGTTCAGCACGAATCCATAGACACACACCGACAAACAATAATCATAAAATCGTGACGTGACTCGCACTAACGACAAACCCCACAGATAAACACAATGTTGCAACGTCAACTTTGCCTCTGAATTGCCTTTTGACCAGCGCCGTAGCCAGAAAAAAAATTGGAGGGTGCAAAATCGAAATTTTTCTTTTGTTGCACCTTTGGAACCCGATTTTGCACCCGATCTTGCACCCGATTTTGTAGCACCTTTGAAATTTTTGGAGGGTGCAATGCACCCATTGCGCCGGCCTGGCTACGGCGCTGCTTTTGACAAATACAGAAAAGTTAGATGATATGAGGAAGAGGGAGAAAGGAAAATTTACCAAATTCTCATTTGACGCATGCATGCCATTGCAGACAGATTTTCTATCGAAATTGCTGGCATTTCTTGCCATGCGATGGAACATTTTGATAGAATTATATCAATTTAACACACACAGAAAAAGTGCATTGTCACGCAAAGCACCTCTGTGATTTATCACTCGAATCAGATAGTTAAAATTAATCTAACCCATTCAAATTCTTTGTACATTTGTCGCAATAGCTGCGATCTTGCAAGAAAAATTAGTTTGCTTTTAAACCTATACTCGCATGCATACATACATACACATGCCTTCACACTGAAGAGCGATCTGTATGCATGATATATGCTGTGTCCATCTACACTCTATACACAAGGAATCCGCAACTAGACACCATATATTCCACCATAATATTGAATTAATCCGCAACACTCACACTGAAATGGAAAGACGGAATTTCTTTTATGAAATAATTTAATGCAATCAACACAATTGAAACTAATCAGTTCTCGAATAACAGCCGAGATGAATGTTCATATCAAACAACAAGAATTACCTAAGAAGATCCAGCGAACGGCTTTTAAGGCCACAATTTTTGCCACGAAAACGCCATACATTGTCACAAGTCATTTGTGACATGGTGGAAACTCGGATTAAAGTTTAATTCCCCTTAGGAAATGATATTTTTATCTATTTTAATGGATGAATGGAATGAGTGTAAGATGCGTTTTGTGGATGCAGTCGACTTCGTTTTTGCTTTTTCCTCTTTATTTCTTATTTCTCACTGAAAATAATAATTGGTTTAACAATCTTAAATGACTATATCTTTTGAACAGGCAATAATTGTACTCCAGCTGCAATAGAAGATTTTCCGGGCGATTTGTTTACCCGGCAACAACGGCAAGCGGGTGCTGTCGCTTTTCACATTACCATTAGTCTATATTTATTTTTAGCTCTTGCCGTAGTATGTGATAAATATTTTGTACCGGCAGTGGAGAGAATAAGTCAAGGTGAGTTAGATTATAGCTACCATCGCAAATGCATGAATGAATGAATCAATTGGTTTCACATACTGTTTGCAGCACTAAACATGTCTAGCGATATTTGTGGAGCTACTTTTATGGCAGGTAAAATCATAATTTAAAATCCATTAAAAAAATACAACCGAAATCCATAGTTTTGCAATCGAATACTTTTCAATTCCCTGTGCGACGGTGAATAATGGCTGTGCTGCAACGGATAGCTGCCACGTCTAGCCCCGAACTGTTTGTGAATGTAATCGGAACATTCATAACAGAAGGTGACATTGGAATCGGTACAATCGTTGGCTCAGCCGTATTCAATATTTTGGCTGTGGCAGCATGCTGCGGTATTGGAGCTGGAATGGATATCCCATTGGACTGGTGGCCACTGACAAGAGACTGTTTGGCTTATGGATTCACTGTAGCAGTTCTAATTTGCATCATTCATGATGAACGCGTCGAATGGTATGAGGCACTGATTCTGGTTATATTGTACATCGTCTACATCGGAATTATGTATTTCGACAAAACCATACAGAAGTGGGCCAGAGGTTAGTGAAAACAACTCAAACTCAGAACTATTGATTCGTTGGAAACGCTAATAGAAATGATCTATTAAACTTATTAGGTGGTTTGAGACAAGCACAATCACGATGTTCGCAAAGAGGCAGTTTGGCGTCGAAATCAAGCCGTGATGGAGGTGAATATATTCTTTTCTTACAAAATGAATGCACACATCTCGAGTTTGTAACTGAATTGGTTTCCAATATTAGATCGTCCATTGAGTGTGGATCATTTCAATCAAAATGGCAACATCAAAAGTATAAGTCACATTGACGCCGATGTAAATGCTGAAAACGAAAATGATGATAATGTACAAAAGGCAATACAAAGTGTAGCTGAAACGGTAAATGAAAAGGCTTCGTTGGGCAAATCTGATATTGAATTGGTGGTTCGAGAATCAAAGCCGAATGAGAAAAAGGATACGATTGATGTAAAAAAAAAATCTAATGAAGATAGCAGATTCTATTTGTTTCGGTTTCCAATGCATAAACGCATCTGGCAACAGTTTTTTTGGATCATAATCTGGCCAATGGAAGGTATAAAAAATCGCTTAAAATTTCATCCAGTCAAACTCAAAATAGGATCCAGTTTATAGTTCGGTGAAACTCGTTGTGATGTACAGACAATTTTTGGTAATTTCACCAAAAGTTCACATTTTTTCGAATTCATACAACAAGTTCATAAACTGATATATATATGATTTTATATCTGCACTCTTCCTAAGGCAAAAAACGAATTGATATTCGTATGCAAAACAATTTGTACCCGCATGAAGAATATTTTTTCACTTAACACCGGACTGATTTGAGATGCTGCTGCGCCAAAAAAAATTCAATGTGTGAAATTACTCTTTTCGCCGAACTGTAAACGCCAGCTTTACATAAAATTATAATCAAGTTTTTTTATATATGTTTCTCAGCTTTGTTCTTTTTCACTATTCCAAATTGTGAGCACAAACGGTTTAGAAATTTGTTTCCATTAACGTTTCTTATGTGCATCGTCTGGATTGGATCACTTTCGTATTTGGTTGCATGGATGATCACAATAGTCGGTGAGTTGAACATGTAAACTTATTAATAAATTGAAAAGATTACCTCATGGTTTTCAAAAAAAATCCTCATTTTCATCAACTGATCCACAGGTGACACATTGAATATTCCTGATTCGGTAATGGGCATCACATTCCTAGCAGCTGGGGTAAATTAATTATTGAATCATTTTTAATTGAAAGTAGTGAATGATTATTTTTTTATTTTTAAAAAGACTTCCGTGCCAGAGGCCGTCTCAAGTGTGATTGTTGCTAAACAAGGTAATTTTGACCAACCAACCGTTGAACATTGCAAATTATTTATCATTCAACATTATTTATTAATATTCTGAAGGTCATGGATCGATGGGAATCAGTAATTCGATTGGTTCGAATACATTTGATATTTTGCTGTGTTTGGGTTTGCCATGGCTCATCAAAGCATCGTTTCTACCGATTTCAGAGGATAAACATTGGGTTGGCATTAATTCACACGGCTTGGAGTATTCAGCGATATCTCTGCTGTCGACACTGTTATTGCTCTACATCGCATTCTCACTTAATAAGTTTAAATTGGATCGAAAGTTGGGCAACACTTGCTTGCTAATGTACGCGGTTTTTCTAATTTTAGCCACACTCATTGAGCTTAACGTATTCTTTAGAGTTAATTTACCCGCCTGCATTCATACCAAACAATAAAACCGAACAATTTTTTTTTTGAAAATTTCAAATAAACAATAAATCACCATAATCTATCTACTTACTGTAAGTAAAATAAAAATACATTTATATTTGAGCAAAATCAATCAGATAATGATGATGATGATGATGACTAAAGCTAAAGCGAATTTCTTTGTAAATGTTAAGTTTTACGGCAATGTCAAAGGCAGAAGATGCAATACCAAATTCAGTCAATATTATTTGTTCGACGATTACCTCTCTCTCTCTCTCTCTCCCTCTCACCCAATATTTTGAAAACATATCGAGGACAATTCATAGAAATTTATTAAGTGAATACCAAATAAAATAAACTGTAAAAGACAAATACACCAAATTTTATAAACTTTTTCGCATCAACTCACAACATACACATTATCAGCTCATGTGAACGGTTAACAATAATAATAATCAGTGATAATCAACAATTACGATTTAGTGTACAATTGTACACACATACTCGAGAAAACAAAATTCCATGTGACTATGTCTCTGTTACTGCGCCATTGGAATGGAAATCTCAAGAAGTCTCTTATCAGAAGGTAAAAAACTTTGCTTCGATTGTTGACACATTTTGGGATGGCCGTGGATGGAAAATACCGAGAAAAAACATTGATTTTCTGTCAAATAACAACCGGGTCAAACTATTATCTATTCGAAAATGGAATTCGGTGTGTATTTTGGTGTTTGGATCTTATCTCACCCTGAATGAATTAATTGTCCGTCTGTCTGTCTGATGATCTCAAATGAATTCGAATTGTTGTTGATCAAGTCATTGGTTGTATTTACCTATATATTGAAGTACAATCTTCTACTTTGAACAATTCCTGATACGATTCACTCTGTTCCATTGATAATAATCATCCTCACATTCGACACATTCATATCTTCAATTGCTTCCTGATAACAATGGTCAATGAGTATTATCTACAACCTGGTTGGTTGCATCGAAAGCCCTATTTAAAGACATTGCTCCGTGACAAACCTCTCATTTGTGTTAGAATACTGCGATTTGTCAGCACTAAAAGGGTGAACCAAAATTAAAACGAAACAAGTAGAAAAACGCCCTTTGACGCGCTTCCCACATTTTTATTATGATATTGAGATAACATTTAGTGATTTTTTCCAATTATTCAACAAAAATCTCGTGCCAAAATTTTAAAAAAATTAAAAAGTGACCATTAAATACCGGAATCATAACTACTTTTTTAATCATTTTGAATTGATAAATTTTTTTGAATTTCTGTGCGTTAGCCAATCATATACAAAAATCAATCCATATTAGAATGAAAAAAACTGATTCACTATTCTCAATAAAGCAGAAGAAGAAAAATTTTCTTGCATTGTGCATAAGATCGTTCCTTCTAATAGCGATAATTTTGCTATATTTCATTTCATCAACCAACTTTAATGGAAATCACAACAGCATTCAACAAGGTAAGGGAAAAATTCACGGCAGACAATTCACGTGGTTTTTATAAAATACAAAGGTCAAGTGCTTAAATTGAGTCTCCGTTCCATTTGACTTCGTGGACAATATTCAAAAGTGTGTGTCACTGCGAATGTGTGTGTTATATTTGCTCTTGATCATTGTTTCTGGAAAATTCTCTTGGAAAGGAAAAATACAATCGATTTAATATGAAGATGATTGGTTTTTTTTTCTCGAAGGCGTCAATGCTGTTTACTGAAATTATTATCTAAAGCAAACATCGACTGCGTCGGACAAAAATATCAATCCAAGCACGTCAGATTTATTATCATCATCAAAGTTTGGTATATCGGCTACGCGTTTCAATAAGAAGATAAGATAAATTTTATGATGGCCTAACCAGTTTGACCAACTCCAGATTATTCGATAGGCACTACTTTCTTGGATGTTACTTAACCCTTTGACGACCTTTGGGACAATTATGTCACATTTTGTTTTTCGTCAATAATTTCCACATGTTTAAACCGATTTCAATAAAATTGGTTTCTATTGAAAGAGAATGAATGTAGCTACCAGAAAGTACCACAATATTGGATATTTATCATCACTGTGCTCAAATAGAACACTTCAAAGTAAAAAAATCTTTACTTTTTTTCAAGCTGCCCCAAACCCTATATAATTTGAACGGTGCAACTTTTAAAGCTGAAAATTTGAAATGTTGTGCGGAATGTCCGTTACTTTCTAAAAATAATCGACTTTTCTCCAAAAAAATATTTTTTAAAATTTTTATTGCTTTTGGTGCGATGGGACATATGTGTCCCATTGGTCGGTAAAGGTAACTAATTACCACTGGTTTGCCTGTATTTTGACCATTATTCGCGAATTTTCAAAAACCAAAATTTACAAAAATATCATCAAATTCGTTATTAAATTGGCACAACAAAGCACAATTCAAACCATTTTCGGTTCCAAACAATTCTGGACATCTTAAAAACTAAAAAGTAGTTCTTATGGGAGACATATTTTCTTCCATACAAAGGTAGTTACCGTTACCGACCAATGGGACACATATGTCCCATCATTTTTTTCATATTTTCAGTTGGAAAAATTAATTTTTGATAACACTTTTACTAAGGTTTTTGCGGTCGCTGAGCACGAATCTGCAATCAGAATTGCAAAATTCCAAGCCGTTCAGTTTTGGTTGTCAAAGGGTTAAACAATTTCGGCAAAATCAACACTTAGAAATAAACGAGTGCCGTATGATTTTATTTTCATTCAATTTATCTCACGTTATAAATTATTTTCTGTTGACAGAAGATGATGTTTATCGATATCGATCTCGTAGCATTCTCGCAGTAAATCAAACCGAATCTATTGTATCGAGCAGAACTACGGAAAGCCCCTTAAGTGGCACGAGAAATCATGCCAGGAAAAATTGTACAAACGCCGCCATACTGGAGCTTCCGTCAGACGGACTCACTCGTGACGAGAGGAAACAAGGTTGGATAATCATTCATATAGCGCTCGCATGCTACTGCTTTTGGTTCTTGGCATCGATATGTGATGATTATTTCGTTCCAGCAATTCAGTCAATTTGTAGTGGTAAGCTCGACGATTCTTCTTTTTTCACTTCAAGAAAAATGACATTAAAGGCACGGTGTCTATTTTCTTCTAACAATAGGTTTCAACTTGAATGAGGATGTGGTAGGTGCGACGTTCATGGCAGGTAAAATCATAATTTAAAATCTATAAAAAATACAACCGAAATCCATAGTTTTGCAATCGAATACTTTTCAATTCCCTGTGCGACGGTGAATAATGGCTGTGCTGCAACGGATAGCTGCCGCGTCTAGCCCTGAACTGTTTATAAATTCGGTTGGAACGTTTATCACGAAAAGCGACTTAGGAGTGGGAACAATAGTGGGGTCAGCGGTTTTCAATGTACTTGCAGTTCCTGCTTGTTGCGGGCTCTTCGCAGGTCAAATTGTTTATCTTGACTGGTGGCCTGTTAGCCGCGATAGTTTGATGTATGGTATTTCAGTGGTTGCTCTCATTTTCACTCTGCAAGATGGAAAAGTTATGTGGTATGAAGCGCTCATTCTTGTGTTCGCCTACATCATTTACATTGCAGTTATGTACTGGAATGAAATAATGTCGCATAAAGCGCGGACTTTGGTAGCAAAACTGCGCAGGTATTTTGTTCATATTCTTCTACATTTTCTATTGATATTCAATAAGCGTTTGACATCAATGTTATTTTATATCAAATAAAAAATACTCAATTTCTTGATAGACAATCTCGTGTGCGGCCATATCGCGAGCGTGCTGAAATCACACCATTATTAGCTGCTCAAAATGGTCAAAAACAAAATGGAAACTCATCTGTTATCAATATAAGCAACAACTTATATCCAATCCTTGAAGTGTACGAAGGTGAGTGCCATTAGACACTTGAACATTTGAATGCGTAATAAAAATGGAGTTATTTCAAGAATTAATGAACTTCATACACTCAAGATAATTATCACGCAGAGGAGATACATTGTTTCTATGCCTCTCTTTGATTGTTTGTTGTCTAGATTATGCTGATACACCATACAAAGTTCCTCATGACATCAATTGCTGCGCATACCTATTAAAGTGGCCAATTATACTTGTTTTGTGGCTCACCGTTCCTGATTGTAGAAAACGTCCAAAATTGACAATGATGACGTTCTGCATGTGCATCGCGTGGATTGGCCTCGCATCATACGCCGTTGCTATGCTTATCACTATTGTTGGTATGTTCAAGTTACAATTTGCTCAAGATTAAACAAGTATTGTAGCACTTTGTGATGATTTCATATCGCATATACACACGAGACTCTCAAGTGTGTACGTTCGATTCGTGATAAACGAATTTTAATTAGAACGTGTTTGTTGTGACATTGCTGTATTTATTATTGTTTTTGTTTTTTCTTTGTTTTTGTTTTTTATCAGGCGATACGGCAAATGTACCGGATTCAGTGATGGGTCTTACTTTCCTCGCTGCCGGCACTTCCTTGCCGGAAGCCGTATCGAGTGTGATAGTTACTAATCAAGGACATGGTGCTATGGGAATTAGTAGCTCAATCAGTTCAAACACATTTGACATTCTTCTTTGTTTAGGTATCCCATGGTAAGATTAGAACGAGTGATATTATTAATTAGAATCATTTCGTATTATTCCAGAACATAATTCATTCACGTCTTTTTTCACATTTTTCACCAGGTTCCTTAAAGCTTACTTCGACCCCGATGTGGACGGTCAAAATTGGGTGAGATTTTCAACGAATAAAATGAAACAGAATTTGCGTTGCTATTTCAAGGGAAATAAATTTATATTTCGTTTGTATTTTACAGATTTCGCTCAACTCGAGTGGCATTACCTACTCCGCGATATCGCTTCTTTCAACCCTTATTGGATTGTATGTGGCATTGGCACTCAACAAATACAAATTGGATTGGAAAATCGGCGTGACATGTTTGCTCATGTACATGGCGTTTTTAGCCCTGGCCAGTTTGATTGAACTTAACGTATTCTTCCCAGTCAACCTACCCACTTGCCCGCACTAATTTTCATCAAATCATCATACAATTTTAAGAACTAAGCATTGCTACAATAAATATCATTTAGCCAGAAACAGAATGCATTGATGTTTTGATTTAAATGTTATTTGTTCGAAAGAAATAGATCCATATCGATAGATCTGTTGACTCTATTCTGAGTTGCTAAGTTACTCTCGTACCAATCATCTTCATATATTATTGGTAAATTAAAAAATCGTGTCTATGCACGGTGTCTACTGTGCAAGTTACTGACGTTGAACATTTAATCCAATTGTGCGGTGTTAAACAAGTGACAAATTTCTTGTATTATGTGAAACAAAGCGATATCGTGATTAATCACTTAGAACATTTAAGTGCCCAATCAAAGCCATTTTACAATATTATCAGCTAATTTATTTCAGATTAGATGTGTACCTGTACATTTTACAACCTGGTAATAATATTACTAATGGTCATTTTGAAATATTTTCCAAAGTATTTCCATTTCAGGCACTTCTCTTATTTGACTCAAATCTACTGCAATCAAAAATTACGTCTGCCTTTAATGTGGAGCAACTCTTCCTCTCAATTGGATGTGTTTCGCATGATTTGGTTTCATTTCAATGATGATTTTGCTCGATCACCACAAACATGGAAATATTCAATTAGCACATTTTTCAGAACTCCCCACCTTTTAAAGAATCTCAATTGTTTCGCAAAGCAAAAATGCCATATAGAATGAGTGTCTTCGGCATCATCGTGATAGTCGTTTGGAATCTTTTCTGTATAGCGCACACGAGTTCAACGGCACCAAAAGTAGCGATTTGAAAGCGAAATTTCAATCTTCAAACGAGGTTGGAATTAAAAAAAAAGGTCGATCGTTGAGTTTTATTATTCAAATTAATGAAACAATATCGGCTCGCACTTTGTGACAATTCCAAATAGGAAAATCAAACCGGTATAATTGTTAAATTAAATAAATGATTGTACTGAAGTACAAATATTTTGAATTTTGGTATTCTAATGAATGCTCTCGGATAGCTCTTAAGTACGTTAGTCGTACATGCATTTGTTAGTACTATTGTGGTTTATAATAGCTCAGTGTTAACAAATCCTACAAAAAAGGACTAATTTCAATTCCAAATTTGGGTGGCAAGACATTAGTTACTGTGACTATTTAATAAATACAATTTAGGCCGTTCAGCCGATAAAAAGATATAATCATGTTATTCACGCCGACTACAATATTTGTATTGATCACATTCTATAGCAATGTTTACGGTGAAGAAGGTTTGTATTATTTGTGTTTATATTGCCAAGATGTGTGATCCTAGTTTTTTTGTATGCACGATAAAGATTTTTCGACTATTCAAAGTGAGAATGGTACGGAAAGCACTACAGCTCAGCCCATTTCGGAAGTGATAACAATGAACATAAGCAAAGTACGGCCCATAAATCATACACCTTTGGATGATTTTCCATGCGATTTGTTCACAGGTAATTCCACCCGAAACGACTAAATGATTGAGTAGCTGGTGGAAGAAAGTGAAATTAGGTTTTTTGAAACGTAACAAGCAAATGCGAAATTGTACGTTTTAGCAAACTCGGTATTCAGGTCAATTTATTTAACTCGATGATGATTTCAGATGAACAAAGGAGGGATGGAGCTATAATTTTTCACATATTAGGTGCTATTTATTTCTTTGTGTTGCTCGCTGTCGTATGCAACGACTATTTTCTGCCATCGGTTGAATGTGTTTGCGAAGATCTGAATATATCAAAGGTAGGCCCCAATCATATTCGCTCTCTTACATTTAACAATTACGAATGACCAAATAATGCACGTTTGTGTAGGATGTTGCTGCAGCGACGTTCATGGCGATATCAAGTATATCACCAGAATTTTTCACAAATATTATTTCATCATTTGTGGTCGAATCAGACGTTGGTCTTGGCGGTGTGTTGGGCTCGTTGATGTTTAATGTGTTAGGTGTTGCAGCATTTGCAGGCATGGCCGTTACAGATTACATTCAGCTAGATTGGTGGCCAATTACAAGAGACTCCTTGTTGTATGCGCTCAGTGTATTTATTTTAATTTGGTTCACATGGGACGGAGAAATAACACTGCTAGAGTCGACGGTGATGGTATCACTTGTAATTATATATATTCTTGTCTTGATTTTCAATAGACACCTAATGCATTGCATGAAATGGATTATGGAAATCAATTTAAACTGCTGCAGAGTGAATAGCTATGGTAAACGGTTTGACTTTTCTCTGAAAAATCGTTTTTTTTGTAGCTGCTTACTTTCTTCTCAGATGTGCCAACATCCTTTGTTGAGAGCAACCTCAAAAGGGCGATCAGTTTACAGACAGATGATTTACGGAAAATGACAAACATGAATGAAAAGCCAAAGTCCTTGCATGGAAGCCTGTCTAAATCATCACTAAATGATATGCCCATATTCATGATTTACGCAGATCAGTCGAAGTCTGTAGAAAACAAAGATGAAACCGAGCAGAAAGTAGATAAAAGTCTATGGAATTTTCCAATGAAAAGCAAACTCAAGACAATGTGGTGGATTTATACGTGGCCAATCAAATTGTCGTTAACATTAACCATTCCGAATCCAAAAACGTATCGTCGTTGGTATCCGCTTACTTTTGTCATGTGCGTTATTTGGATCGGGTTAAATTCCTACATGATCATTTGGATGATGACTGTTATAGGTGAGCATAGTTGCATTGTAATTGAAAAACACGAATATTTGCATATTCAAGTAAATTTATGTTCATTTGCGCTTCATTAGGATTCACATTCAACATTCCCGAAGCCGTGATGGGTCTGACGTTCTTGTCTTTTGGAAATTGCATGCCGGAAGCATTTTCGAGCATTTTCATGATTCGGAAGGGAGAAAGAGGTTTTGGGGTATCCAATTCACTTGGATCAAGTACTTTGGATATTCTCCTATCGCTCGGACTACCTTGGTTTGTACGGAATCTACTGCAATGGGAAACAAATCAAAATCTATCCGTGCACATCGAATCGAGCGGAATCGGATTCACCATTCTGTTGTTGTTTGCTTCGGTCGTTGTGCTCTATGCGATTCTGTCTTCATCTAAATACCGTTTGAGCAGACCCGTTGGTTTCGTTCTAATTTTAGCATACACAGTTTTGGCCATTCTCAGCGTATCACTTGAAATGGATGTATTTCCAACTCTAGCTAGTTGATAAACTTACAAGAAATAATTGATAATTTGTTTTTATGTATAGTATATACCATGTTCAAGAACGCCATCTATTGCTGTATTGCTGAAACAAATGAACTTATTTTCGTGGCATGAAAAACGCTCTTTTCTACTGAAATGTTGTTTTATTTTCGGATGGTTTTGGTCACTCTTTGCACACCGTTTCGTTCATACGAGGAAATATATCGTTGAAAACACTCTCGAAGCGTTTGAAGCAAAGAGAGTGGTTGTACATTATACAAACTCGAAATGCATTTAATGCTACGAAACCACTCAATCATTCTCTCTTTCTCTGGTTCGCTCTCTGTGCCACACACACATGTGAGCGCACGCACACAATCGCAAAAATACGCGCATCTGAAATCAAGTCAACTCAAAACCATCTCTGCTCAATTGCTGCTCAACAGAGACGAGAATCGTATGTATTGTGAGTGAAAAAAAATACTGTAATTATTTTACGATCAAAATCAAAATAAACTGATAGCTTCTGAGAAAAAAAATTTAATTGGTAATTTTACAGCAAAAAATTAGAAATGATTGATAAACATTTTTGCTCTAGATATTTTTCAGATTGAAAAGCGTTAGCATATTGATTATATGGTGGCTTTGACATTTTGGTTGCTCTGTTCAGATGGTCGTGTTCGTCGACACTGAATCGTGTGCGAAGCAAGTGAACGATGAGTGAAATTGGTGAAATGAGTGAGAAACGGCCCCAACACAATCACATCCCACTGTAAAGAACACTAAGACTATTGACCGGTGCACAGTGAATAGAATGAAATGAAGAGAGAATAAAATACACGAAGAGTAGAGTCAAGACGACTGTCGAAAAATTGAGTTCGCGTAGTGCAATAGGAAAAAATCGAATTTTCAGTGAAATAATTGATTAAAAAAATATCGAGCAAAAAGCCGTATTAATTGCATTTGGAGCGGCGAAAATGTAACAATCAAGCAAAATTTTCTCGATTGTATCTTAAAATTGAGGACGATTATGATGATGGAAAACTGAATAACTTGTGCTTATTGTGTTTTTGAGTGTGTATGGTGGCAGACTACGCCTTCTGTTGCTGCTTTTGTGTGATTTTTCATCGTCGTTCGTACAAGAGTGCTGTACAGCGCCATATTAACTTTTACTTCTTCTATGTTAATGTTTTGATAAATCTTCTTCGCTTTTATTTATACTTTTTTTTCTTCGTTTACGGTAAGTTTTGTTGATTATTTTGCACAACATGAATTTGTGCATTGCATTCAATCAATTGGTTAAAAATTTATTATTCGGAAATGGAGTGGTTTTTGGTGTATGAAGTGTGAATCTTTTTTTTCATTGGAACATTTGCAATGAGTTCGACTGTGAGAAACCTGTGTGTGCTTCGTTCATTGTGTGATGATGATGTTGATGACGATGTATGCTGTGCGTAGTGAATGCATTCGATTGCATTGTAAATTCGTCTTGGTTCACCAAAACGAAGCGATTTCGTTGGAAAAATGTGTTCAGCTTCGAAACACACAATTGTTTTGTAAATAAACAATATTTCAACAATAATCAATCGCTTCGGGATAGTAAACATATTTTTGAATGGTGATAAAATGCTTCGTCTAATTATACTGAATGACCGAAAAGTGCTTTTTGTTACGAGACGTAGTCGCAACGCAGTCACATGCTGTTACGAAAATAAAACGCAAAGATGGCAAAGAGAATGTGAAAGACCTCAAATTGCAATTAAGTGTGCAGTTTTGGAAATGCGTATGACGTGTGTGTATGTGTGCGTATTTGTATGTGAATCGATTGACAAAACAAAACATAAGAAACTACGTGTTCCATTTCTTTCGCGTATCAAATGTAATTTAACTTACATGTAAATGGAATCATCAGGCATTTAAGATATGGAGAGTATATAGAATTATGTATATATGTAAATATATGCGGTAGACGCCATCTTTCTACATAAAAAAAAATAAAACCACGATATTCCAAGTGACATCGTTTTCATATTTTCATAATTTTCTCCTAATATCCAAAGTAGAGCACGCAAATTAAGAAAACTCAAGTGAGAACAGCCCGATGCGCGAGTTCTGAATGCTTCGAGTGCAGTGTGTAAACAGCCATTCATCATGTGTGTATGTGTGTATGTATGTGTTTTTGTGGGCAATAAAATAACATATTTCCTGAGCCTGAAAATTTTCACTTGCGGTTAAAATGAAAACAAATGAATATTTTTTTTTCTTAAAGTGAATCGACTTGAAAACGGATGAATGAGACTTTTTTTGTGTACTAATAGAGAGAAACATAATTATATATAAAACACCCGACATTCCACAATAATAGAAACCAACTGACCGTACCCGCTTTTCATTCTTATTGGAAATGGACATTTATATCTGGAATCTGTTTTTTTCTTTTCTTCTTACGTTTCGTTTCGTTTCGTTTCGTTTTATAGAATAAAATGGTACATAGAAGTGGTTCAACACATCAGTATGAGGAACTATTTACAAATGAGGAATCGAATTCGAAAGCGAAAGATGATTTACAAATTGCCGAATCGTTTAAAATGAACAGCAATAGCGCAACAAATCAACCCGAAGAGAATGAAACGAAGCGCCAGCTACGCACATCGAAGCGACTGTGTTCAATAAATCCGGATGTGATGACACCACCGAAATCATGTGAAATCAGCAGTAGCAGCAGTAGTAGCAGTAGCTGCAATAGCAACAACAACAGCACCAGCACCAGTACTAGTAGCAGTAGCAGTAGAACATCGACCGACACTCTGATGACATTCGCTACGACAAATTTGATTCCATTAGCCGTTAAACCGAAGTCAATACGAAATCGTCGCTATACAATAAACGATTGTGTTCATCCCAGTGAGAAGAGTATATCGGTGCCATTTGCTGACCAAAAAAAGTTCAAAGAGTTTTCGACTCCCGTTGAATTATCCACGAGAACGAGAATCGGTGGCAAGAGTCTCGATGATTTCAGTATAAAGAAGGATCATTTTAACTGCAGCGTTTCATTGGAACGATTGGCAGGCATTGTGGATACGATTTCTACAAAAGTTTCGCCAACGGGCGAAAAAGACGATGCAACCGCAGCAAATAAAGTGTTCTGTTTGTACTGTGATCGCACATTTTCGAGTTTAAAGCTGTATGGAAAGCACGTGGAACGTGTACATCAAAGCAAATCGGGCCGGCGAACAAGTGCAAGAACCACAAACAATGCATCGGTCCAAAACTACCCTGGTTGCTCGTATTGCAATGTTGGCAAAGTTACCTGCTTAGAGAGTGAAGAGTTAACGCAACTGGTGCATCATTTGGTTCAACAGCATGGTGATAAGTATTTCGCTTGTGAAATATGTATGATGCGGTTTCAAACACGAGAACTTCTACAGAAACATGCCAGTGCTTTACATGGATACAACGATGCCAAATCGAAGAAAGAAACGCAAAGAAAAACACCGCGAAATGTGCAATCATCAATGGCCAATACTTTATCACCATCATCTTCATCTTTAAATGCAGCAGTTACCCCGCTCACGGTCCAAGTGGATTTCGACTCGAATGAAGCGTCGGATCAGTCGAGCCTGCGAAACCGACTCCGTCGGTCAACCGATCTCAAAACAAAGTCTGAACGATCGACGCGAAAGCATTTGCTGTCGAGCGAAGAAACGTTCTTATCTCGCCTGGGCATTGGATTGAATCGATCACCGCGTTCACGAAAAGGTGCGAAAAATCGGCGCGGATGCTCGTCCGAACTGTTCGAGTCGACACGATCAACGCGTAGCAATAAGAATTCGAAGCAATCGATTCCAAGTAGCCATGACATCAGCGAATCATCGAAACAGATCAACAGCACCAAGGTCGAACCGATCGTTCACGCCTTCGACGAAGATTTTTACGAGTCTGTGAATCAGAATGTCAAACAGAATTTGACCTGTCATCTCGATGGCAAACTGGATAGCGGTCCAATGTCGCCAAGCCCATTGAGCCCAGTCGCCAGTGTTCCCACCGTTCGAAGTATTCTAGTCAAGAGTCCGCTCGTCATCGAAGCGGAAATCCATGAAGCAACTACAATATCAGCGTTTACTGCCTTTCCCACACTGCTAACGGCACAACAGCACGGCGGTGAATCACTCACACCCGGCAAAATGAAAAAGCCAATCACAAAGAATTCGTGGAAATGGAAATGGGATTGCGTAAAAAAGTATAAATATGTGAATGAAGGCGGTAAAATTGTGAAGAAAATCAAACAATCGACATGTGGCATGCGCGATTTGTCCACACTTGATATGTGGACACAGTTAACGATGCGAATGCGACACGAGGTTGTCACCCGGCAAGAAAATGAAATATCAGGCGAAGACAATGTCTTGACAGTTGGAGAAGCAGCCAGAGAGGAAAAACGAAAGCTAATCGATCAACTCAATAAAATTTTGGATACCAGAATTGTCCCGAAGATTAATGTTGAGCAAAGTGACCAATCCATCATTAAACAGGAATCAGTTGACGATCTTAAGCAAAGCGATAGAATTGTACCCAGCACCTCAACATCCACCTGCATTTCAATAACGGACACTCTGCGTGATCCCGAATTTCCAGCGTTGATGAATTTGATAAAACGTGAACGCACTGACACCTTTCAGTCAACAGTGATTTTGAGTGGAGAATGGGCTCGACCACGTTGCTACATTTGCTTTGGATGTGGTTCGCTGTTTTCAACAGTGCGAACACTCGAAGAACACAAAACATCGAAACATCCTTACGTTCATTCAACGCACTACGAAATCGTCGGTAAGGAACTGATTGATGGCAATCTTTTCCGTAACTTTTATATCCCTTCATTAGCACTGCAACGGCACAACGAATACCACAAGAAGCAATTCTTCAATAATAGCATTTGCAACGCCGCCGAAGACTCAATGGATAGCGTTACATCCAGTTCAATGAGTTTGACTAAAAGTGATTCGTTCGATTTGGATTCGAATTCACGCAATTCCAAGGTCAGTATTTCGTCGTCGGTCGCATCGGTATCAGATCGTTCGTACTCAGCATCTGCTGATGATGAAAATGCAAACAGTTCGTCGGAGATAGCGATGACCGTGACGAAAAGCTGCTCGAAATGTAATCGTCAGTGCAAAGGAACATTGGATTTGTATCGTCACATGTTGGACTGTTCGAGTGATTACGCATGGATTTTGGCCAAGAAGCGAAATAACATCAAATACCGTTATTTTGGAACGAAACGACGAAGACCACAACGATCTAGTTCGTCGAGTGCCCGTAAAATTTCGAGACCAAAAAAGGAAAGGCGCAACAGTGATACGAGCGCATCACAAAAATCAAAAGAACCATCAACACCTAGACAACGACCAAGTGATGGTGAGTATAGTGATTTTTCCTATTTAATCCAACTATAGCATTTTATTTGGTATTAATTTATGTTTTATCATTTTTTTTCATTCTTAGCCGAATCGATTCAGCGAATGCTCGCCAATTTGCCAGCAAAACGGGCTGTGCGTCAGATTTTCCCAGATTTGGTACCAAAACCAAATAACAAGAACAAAAAGCATCTGCCAAATCCCTTAAATCGCAAGAAAATCTTGCTAAAGCAAAAAACAAAGGGTAACTCACGTGGATTCAAGGTCGTATCAACAAGCAGCACAACCATAAACTCCGTTGGAACAAATTTAGCTTTAAGGAAGCGGCGCAGCGTTGAAGCGGCAAACGCAGTTGTACGACGGACACGCTCATCATTAAATGCTGCTGGACCAACGACAAAAGCAAAAGCAAAGGATAAGGAGATCGGAGACAATGCGAGTGTCAGTGAAAGTGTCCGCAAATCGGCTACAACCACATCACCGGCACCGTCCACATCGTCTTCGACGTCCAGCAAAAATCCAGCCAACGAAATGGCAAAAAACAAGAAAACCAATAATGATCTCGGCAGTGTATTTCGTCGACGAACAAAAGCTGTAGTCACAAAACTAACGAAAACATTTCGACGCGGACAAAAACAACGTCTTCTGTGCACAACACATCATTTACCAAACACATCGAAAAACACTAATAGCGCTAAGTTAGATAAAAATAAATTGAAAACGAAAAGCAAAAAGACATTTCTACGAACACTATCTTTTCGTCGCTCCAATCGCAACCTTAACAAAATGGACAAACCAGCTGAAAATGATAAGTCAAATGATGAATCAAGCAGTAAAAAAACAATGAGCCAAACATCTACATCGTCAATGTCATCGTCGTCGTCGTCGTCGTCGTCGTCGTCGTCGCTATTGCTGTTGTCTTCGGACAATGAGAAGAAATCAACCACAACAAATGCCGATCATGACGACCAAAATTTAGAGAAAAATACCAGCACAACTTTTGACGAGGACAAAACTAAAGCAGAAGAAGTGCACGCAAATATTGAAGCAAATGATCAAACGTCTGATGCTGCAGCCAAGAAGAGTGAGCCTAAAGCTCCACGTCTCAAACGAAAGCGGTCAATAAAAACAATAATAAATGAAATGCGTGCCAAATGCCAAAATCAAACGAACGCAATAACCCAACCTGATTCGGTTTTACCAGTGGAAGAAGAAACCAAAAAAGTCGATGAAAAACAGTCAACTGATAATATTCCAATTGTGTCGAAAAACCCAACAGAACCTGTGTCGCTTCCGACCAAAGTAGATGCACTAGTATCACATCCACATCCACATCCACATACACAAACATTATCATCATCGTTAACTTCTTCAACACCGGTAACAATGCCACTATCACTAACGATTGAACCGTTGGATGAACCATTAAACTTGTGCATATCGCCTCTAAAGAATCTCTCTGCCGCACATTCATCGAAGGAGGTCGACGAAAAAACAACGGTCAACAGACTTCAGCCGCCCGAGCCCGAGCCGCAACTGGATAACATTTCGCCGCGTCGCCGCACCCGCAAATTGAATGATTGCATTGCAATGTTGACAGGAAAACTTCAAGAAAAACTTGGCGTTCCATTCATCGATCAATCGTCTGCATTGCTACCTATTTTGAGTCCAGGCAGTGAACAAACTCAATTGAAATTCACGACTGATGAACAAAAAAAAGAAGAAACGCCAAAGTCGTGTGCTGAAATTATGACGATGACTAAAGTCACAACAACAACGGCGAAGCAAAAAGAAGCAACAATTGATAAACTTGAGCCAAAAATGAGTATTCCACAGGTTAATGTGCAAGATGTTTCAATCAACGATAATGTTGTTGATGTGTCTGCCAGCGAAAAAGACCAAATGAAAGATAAAGCGCAGATCGATTCGAATGTAACCAAAAAGCAAGAGAACATTGTTAAATTTATTTCGATTGCTGAAGACATGGGCAGAAAGGAGCTACGAAGTCGTAGAACCAGAGAAATTACTCCAATTCAGTCGAAAGAGTCAGAGTATGAAACAACAGCTAATCAATCTTTTACCGATACACAAGTGACGCTTGAAGCAACAGAAACGTTGGTAGAAAAGGAAAGTAAAAAGGAAAAAGAGCTTGTTCAGGTGATCGAAAAAGAATCACAAAGTGAAGTGAATGCAATTTCAAACCAAACAAAGAAAATACCACAATCGAAACGAAAACTTGATACTCCTATAGCAGATATCCCAAAATCGAGTTCTGATGACAATAATAAACCAGACAAATGTAAACAAGAATTCGAAATTGAGGTGGCTGCAAGTGTGCAAGTTACTGTAATTGAGAAGCCATCGATCCTGAATGATTCGGATAGTGTGGCGAAAGCGTCACCAAAAACCAAGAAAAAATCGGCCAAACAAACGATAATTAAGGAAAAAGCAGTGGTAGCGAATGCACAGACACCTGTGCAAGAGGCTATTGCATCGGTAGCCGTTGATGGACAGGAGAATGAACTCAAAACGATTCATATCGAAAGTAAGGCGATTGATGTGGAAGATGAGATTAAAACCAATATCATACCGAATGAACACCGAATCGTCGATACGAAGCAATCAAATGTTAACAGTTCACCAAAGAAGAGTGCTAAAAAAGAAACTCCAACTCCGTCAAAGGATACAGTAGCAGGTAGAGGGAACAATCGAACGACACGAAGTGGAAAACAGGCCACTGAAGAGCTGAAAGCGTTAGAAACTATGCCACCGGAAAAGAAAGAGACACCGACCAAAGCTACAAAAGCAACAAAGAAGAAAACACCAGCAAAAGAATCGAAGACACTGATGCCGGATGAAAAAGTCACAACAAGTGAAACACCGGTGAATGAAAAATCCGTCAAGGAAGCACTGTCGAGTGGAAAACCAGAAAAAAATACAGAAATGAATGAAAAGTCAACCGAAGTCGCTTCAAAAGAAGTGGCACCAATTAAAAAGTCAAAAACTAAATCGTCGATGACACCAAATAAAAAGCTTAATGCAAAAATCGAAGAAATTAAAGCACCATTGCCCGATGGTGTTCATATGAGTCAGGATGTTGTTGAACTACAACAAAAACAGCAACCAGTGGAAACAACGGAAAGTCAGGAATCTAGTGAACCGAAACCGAAGCCAGATGATCAAATTACGAAAAGTGAGGATGAAGGAAAATCGCAGACAAAACCAGAAGCAGAGCCGGTTGAAAAACGAAAATCCAATAGCAAACAAAATGAACGAAAATCCATTGCAAAGACTGATAAGAATAGTAAGAAAAAGCTGAAAAAAGAGAAAAACGGCGAAAAGAGTGTAAAAAGTGGCAAAATTCAAATGTCGGATACGATGAAGTTTGAAAATAGTGATGATGAATTGCTGCCATGGGATCCGGAAAAAGGTTTCATTCAAACCCTCGACATAACACCCTCCACAGATGAGGTGAGTGAAAAGAAAACGGAAACTCCGATGGTGACTGTTACACTTGTTGAAACGTCGGTCGAGCAGGAAAATGAGATGGAAACAAGCGCCATGAAATCGGCGCCTAAACCGAAGAAAAAACGAAAAAGTGAGCTGGCTCAAATTATTGCCGATCAATTGCTAGAAAGTTTCAAAGAAGTCGATCAATCACGTGTCGATGAGTTGAAAAAAATCCAAGATCTGTCATTGTCACAAAGCGAAGCCGAATTGATATCGACCAGTTTGTCAACAACGCCGATTCCAAAACGTAAATCGAAAAAACTGTTTGAAACCATTGAACCGAAGAAAAATGAAAAATCCTCTTCGAAGAGTAGTAAATCCGATAAAGATGCGCGTAAAAAATCATCCACCCCAAAGCAGACTGGCAACAAGGAACCGCAAACACTAGCGGATGGCTCCAGTTCATCGGTAGAGGAGAGTAATCGAAATCCAAAGGAAATCAAACCGGAGCCAGAAACTGAGAAATGGGTGAACAAATCAAAAAAGGAAAAGAAATCATCAAAGAAAAAGTCTTCGAAAAAAGAAGTGAAAAAGAAAAATTATTCCGAAACCAACGCCGTCGGTGTCGATTCAGCCAAAATAAAAAGTGTCACGAGCAAAATTATAAATGATTCATCGGATGCACCTTTGAACGATGATATCAATAAGAAAAGTGTCATTACTTCAACTGCGCCAAACATTCACGGTAATGTTGTCATTGATAAAGTGTCGGAGAAAAGTCTGTTTGGTAAATCAACAACGACAACACAATCCAGTGAAAAACCGCAAAGTCTTCATGCTTCGTCTACGATAACGAGTGATGCGACAAGCTCTGACCACAGTGTAAAATCTAAATCGAATTCAATATTTGCCGAGGTGCTATTGAGTCAGAAGAAAGAACGATTGAACGATATCATCGGTTTGGCTGACAAAGAAGCACTGTCTCGTGTTCCATCAATAAAAAATGTAGTTTTTCCTCAGTGGCAAAGCGGCAGCGGCATCGATAATAAACAAAGCATAGGGGTGGTGCTAGATAAAGACAAAACCCCTTCATCCAATGAGAGCAAATTGAATTTCTGGGGTCGTTCCAGCCCAACGTGTGCGAGTGAGAAAAGCGTCAAATCAAACATGTTTGGAGTGGTGAAAAGTCGTGCAAAAGATCTATTCTCGCGCATTTCGAAGAAGAAACTGAAGAAATCAATCAAAACATCGCTAAGATCTTCATCTTCATCATCGTCATCGTCGTCGAGCTCATCAAATAGCTCATTAAATCCACCAAAGAAGCCTTTGCTCCGACCAAGCATACTATCTTGCAATAATTTCCGTGATACGGTTACCGTGACTGTGAACAGTCCATCTGATGTTGTGTCACAAGTGCAGGTGCAAGTGCAAGTACAACAACCAACCGTCACTGGCACGACTGCTACAATGAACGATATTTTCGATTTACTACGAAATGAAAAGGCAATGTCTGGCGTAAGTTCATCACAACAAAAACTGGAAACAGCACAATGCACCACTACCAACAACAACAGCAGCAACAAAAAAGAGTCAAAAAAGAACAAAGATGCCATCGACATAAATCCCAAATCGCCAATTGAATCGGATATGAACATTGCTAAAATTGCCATTGCATTGGGGAAATCAAATCGTAAGGAATTGCATAATCAGGTATCACAGAATTTGAACAGCGCATTTGTCGTCGATAAAACTGAGCCGCCACCAAAGAAAACAACAAAGAAAACCATTGCAACGAAGGCTGAGAAAAAATCGATAACAGCTATCGCAGGGGACAATGCGACGATATCATTTATGCCATCGTTGCAAAATGATGATTCGCAAGACACGATCATTTCACAGATTGTGAGCAAGATTCGTGAAAAGGCCGATCGAACCGATTCCGATGATGAATTGTGTCTCGCCGATGTTGCCAAAGGTTTGCCAAGGAAACCAGATAGCGAGTTCTCTGTGTCACCAGCAGCATTAGCAGCCGAATCAAAAGATCTCTCCGAAGCGTCTGTTCAAAATGATATAAGTGCCTTAGTATCAAATATTAACAAACACTTGGAAGAGAGTGCGAACGAATCGAACGAAGCGAACGAGTCGAACAATGACAAATGTGTCGAACAGAATTTGAAAGAACCATCGACTCAGAATGATGATGATGGTGGTGGTGGTGGTGGTGGCGATGGCTCTGACGATGAGAATACCAACACAGAGCTAATTGATATGGATTTGGAGGATAATGAGAGTGTTTACACGACATTCTCACAATCGACGTCGATAACGAGTGGTGGTAGTAAGAAGAAGCGTCGAAAGAAATCAATTCTATCGTCAAGCCGAAAGTCCAGGAGGGATAAAGAACGGCGACTGTTTGCATCGCCAACCGTTTCGTATTTCTGTGACATTTGTAACAAATCTTTTCGAAATCAAAACGGTTTGAACAATCACAAAGCAACCATAACGCACATCTCGAAACTGTCCGAGCAAGAGTTTTTGAGTGCAAAGGAAAAACAAAACGAGAATAAAGTGACAGCGGATGAACAGAGTGTGGTGGTCAAAGAGGAATTAGTGAAATTGACAACGCCAAAAGAGGATAAAGTATCAAGTAGTGAAAAAATTGTGACGATGACAACGACAACCGCGACAACAAGGATGGCGCCCGAGAACAGCATACCGCCTGTTAAAATTATTGTGCCACCCGAAACACATGAAAATATTCAGTCGTCGGTAATCCGAAGTCGAAGTTCTCCAATTAAAACCAACAGCACAAATTGTTCACCTTACGTGTCACCAAATCACATAAACCATAGTGGTGGTGTCGAACCGATCTCATCGCCCGAACAAAGCTCCCGGTTCAATGGCAATCCAAAAAGTAATTTGACACCATCGTCATTGAATTCACGGCTAACACTCAGCCAGGAGGAGCGTTTGTTCTACGAGTGTTGCAGCATGTTGAAGGGTTCGGATAGACAAACGGTTGGCTTGAATATGCCGGAGCTAATTACGAAACCGGTGACACCGAAATGCACTGAACAAACGTCGAACATTGCACACGCAGCACAATCGCCACGATCACATTCGAGCCCACGGCCGGGTCTTCCAAAATTGGATATTAATCAATTTAGTGACATTTCGTCTGATTCAAATCCGGCATACTCGTGCCCGCAAGTTCCGAGCTCATCGAAAACACACAAAGTATTTTCGTTGGAACGCGCGACACCGTCAAAACCAATTGGTGGCCGTGAGAAAGATACCAATATGTTCGAAGCACGTCAATCAAATGAAAATGCGGACGCTTCGGCCAGTGGAAAAGTGGCTCGGTCAAGCAGCAGTTCCAGTTATCCCCACAGTTCGACAATCCTACGAAATTATCCGGATTCGTATTCTGATATGGGTGACAGTTTTCCATCGTCTCAGGATGCCAGCGAAAGTGAAAACTATGCACAAACTATACTCGAACGGTCAAATCATTTTCCAGATGCAGCTCCAAAGATCTCACACAATACTCCGCAGAAAGGTGAAGGCACCCATTATATGCAAGCATCACTACCGCATGAAAATGTTGATTTTCGGTCATTTTCAAACAGGTACGTATCATGAAACTCTTTACCAAAACAGTGAAGATGGAAAAAATATTTTTAATTTTATCGCAATTTATCCTACCGTAGATCACATTTGGATTCGCCACTTCATTCGACATCTTCACAAAGTTCGTCGTTGTCACGACCGCGCACGAAAGCCGCTCTCAAAGGTTACGAGAATCTCAAGGTGTCTATTCCGACATCTGGTTTGGATATGCAGCACGCCCTTGACCGCAGCCCAAATTCGAATGGCTGCAAATTGGCTGCACTGGCTGACATCGCTCTCGGCAACGATGTCCCATTCGATCTGATTGAGCCACGAACATCGGCCACAACCAGTAATAAATCCAATCCGAAGATCATCGCAAAATCTCCGCAAAAACCGAATCTCTCAGCCAAATGCTCCACTGCAAAGCAGTCAACACTGTTCATGGTTTCATCAGACACTACGAAATTGCATTCAATCGAATTGAAAACGAAATCATTCGAGGCTTCGTTTCATGTGTCGCCACGGACACGTAAACGAGCTCAATCAATTGGCAAAAAGACCGGCTACAAAGATCGCAAAAAGAAGTGCCGCACAACGAACAAAAACAAATTGTCGGCGAAAATCGTAGATACATCCAAACCGAAAGATGTGTACGACTTTGAAGAGTCTCACGATTCGGTTGAAGATGAAATCATCCCCATGACACATACACGTCCGAGCAAAGCTGAATCACATTCAACGCCAACCGAATCGTCTCCATCCAAAGCAAATGAAACGCCGAAGAAGCAGTGTGATGACCAAGAGGAAGAATCAAGTTATTCGGATCGTGATGATTATTACAATTTCAATTCGGTGAGTGGCAGTGGCACCGAAGACCAAGAAAATCCAGTAGAAGAAGACGAAAATAGCGATCGCGAAACGTCACAATCGTCAAGGAGCACAAAACCAGCCAACAATTCACAAAACAAAAGTTTGATTATGGGCCGAATTTTCAAGAATGCCAAGAAAAACGTTGAAACGACACCGGTTGAGTGCAACAAAGAGAAACCGACAGTCACGAAACCGATGCCCAAGAATGATCTGGACGAAATCTTTGACAATTTGAAAAATAGGAGCCCAGCAAGAGAGAAGCAATCAGGAGTGATTGAAGCACCCGAAATGACACCGAAATGTGAAGAAGTTAGAACCGAACAGCAAACCGATAGTTTGATCGATGGTCAATTGGAATCGCTTGTTTCGCATTCACATCGCAAATCACGTAAATCGCGTGAAGTGGCCAATTTAGAGGCTGAATGGGGCATGTCAGTGGAACAAATCAAGGGCATTATCGGTGTTGGGATGCGCAAAGCGCAACGCAGATGCACCGCAAATCGCCAAAACAAATTGGTTGAAACGTGGAGCTCGGATGAGTACGAAGAATTCCATTCGACAAAAGATATAATTGCATTGATTCAGGAGGCTGAAATGAAAGCGCAACGTTCAAAGGCCAGATCTCAGAAACACAACGCCGAAGCCAAAGCAGCAGCCGAAAAGCTAGAACACGGTGAACCTACTGCACAAGAAAAATCGACCAAAACTACAAACTCTGATGCGAAGAGAGATAAATCCAAAGAAGGCAATCGTAAAGTGAAGATCGAAACCACAACAACATCCACAACCACAACCACAACCAGTGAAAACAACGGAACGAAAAGTGAAAAAGAAGAGGAAGTAGTTGTCCGAGGAGGAGGAGGAGGAGGAGGAGGAGAAGATGAGCAAGTGGAGGTCGTGAAGCCATCTAAATCGAAGAAAACGCTGTCGGAAAAATTCCGATCGGAAGACGAAAGCGACTTTGACGAACACTGGAATAAGAAAGCGAAACGAGCTAAAATCCGCAACCGTCGTCGTACAATCACTTCTCGCGACGATTTGGTGGAGAAAAAATCAAAAGTAAAAACAAAAGAGAAATCAGCCAAAAAACCAATGCCTAAAATCAAGCATCAACCACCTAAACAACAACAACAACAACCACAGCACCAGCAGCAACAGCAGCAGCATCAGCAAGTTAGTGAGAAAAAGAATAATAAGCCAGCAAAAGAAGTGGATACATCGATACCAACCTCGAAATCAAGCGGTAAAGCAACCAAAGATGGCAAACCAATGCCACGGCGGAAGAGAATTGCATCTGAGATGCTTTACTATTGGTCATCGTCGAGCGATGAAGAATTCGGTCGAATCGAAGCGGACAGTGAAAATGAAGACGGAGACAACAGTGAAAATCATCTCGAGCAACATGGCTGGATAGTTGGTGATTCACACAAAAAATTAGTCACTCTGTTGGCACACGCAAAGCATAAAAAAATCGAGGACTGTGGTGTCAAAGAGACGGTTCATAGACGGAAATGAAAGTAGTTATTATTTCGTTGAGCGTGCGTAAATCCGAAAAAATGACAATTTTCTAAGATATTGTAATCCATTTATCGTTAATGATAATAATAATGGAGTAGCTACGTTTAATCGTAAATGCAAAGTACACATACATTCATTTTGAATTCATAATTTATGTCTTTACCGTATTCAAATAATATCCATTTTTTTGTGTAAATCGTAAGATGTTTTATAACATGAGTATTTTATGTATGTAGCATGATGGGCTTACTTGTACAACAAAACAAACACACCGTTCACATTTTCTGCGGCATTTATTCCACACATTATTATCAATCTCTCTCACCATCTACACCGTTTCAAAATGATGATTAATTATTTTTGATTGATTAGAATGTCAATGTGCGCGCATCAATGAAAACTACTACGCTTTAAAAACTCAGATCGATTGAAAATTGATCAACACCTCAAATTGTGTTCTTCTTGATATTGACTGAAGGGACGACTGCACCGAAATGGAAAAAATGCTGCAGAAATTTAGAAAAAATTAAAAAGAAAAAAAAGAAAATCAAATTGACGGCCATTTGGAGCGGGAGAATATGCGAAGTAGAGAGAACTTTATCTCAAGAAAAAAAATATTGCTTAAACTTTTGACATATGCATAAATTGAATTGAAAAAATTATATGTATAATGAGTTTGCAGTAACTCATACAGTGCAGTCACACAGAGACATATTGAGTGTATGTATATTCAAGCCAAAATTTCATAAATTTCAGTCCATTTAAATGTTGTGGCGAGGGTTGAAGAAATCAACCAATCAACCAACAAACATATAGACACCCAATTTAAGAATCCCAATGTTTGAAAGAAAAATTGTTTAGAAAATATCCTCTAGTACCTTGCAAACAAAACTAAACAAACATGAAATCCCTTTTTAGATCAAAATTCTAGATTTATTATTTTTTTTATTATAATTTTATTTTATTTTTTCCTTTTTGAAAGAGAGTTTGACTGTACTATTTTATCTATACAAATTTATGTTAAATTGATATATATTTTTTCGTGTGTTCCGCTGAATTCCATACGAAACTCGTACTTTCAGCAATAGGCCTACAAAACGAAGTGAAAGAGAGAATTGTGGATATGTTTGCCCTTTTTAATGAAAAATTGTGTGATTTGAAAGAAAGAAGATATAATACACTATATAAATAAAGTTTCCTTCTTCTTCGGGTGGGCGAACGCACGCGGCAGTGGTTGAATACATGCAATAACTCTACAAATCTTTTTTTTTCTAGCTGAACTAAGAAATTGAATCCGCCGCCTCTACTATATTCTACCAACATAGACGTAGACGATAAAATGAGTAGAGGAATTATTTTGAAGGAAATAGGCAAATTATCGTAGTGGAAACAGAAATCAAATCAACATTTAACAAAGTTAAAATGAAAGAGAAAAACAAAAACATCAGCGTTGAAATCAATGGAATGAATGAATGATTGAATGAAAGATACTAAGCACACATGGCAGTTATAGTGGAATAAATGTATTAATTCATATTTATTCACCTTTCACTTACACATAGATTATGTATTTTAAACATAATTTAGCAAATGATAAAGAAGAAGTAGAAGAAAGAGAAAAAAATCTTCGGAATATTTCGATATGACAAAGAAACGCAACTGCTAAATATTAATTTGATTGATCAAATGAAATGCTGCAGTGGGTCGGATAAACTAAAAAATTTATATAACAAATATATATATTTAAAGTGACGCTAAATGTATCATCATTATCATCAAAGAACATTATACTGTGTATTACGTGTATTATTTACATCAACCAATTTTCATTTTTAACTTTGTTTTAATTCTTCCCGAATTTTAGTGAGCAACAAAAAAAAACTGATATGTGAAAATGTGAGAAAGAAAAAAAATAGAAAAGTGAAGAAAAAAAATCACAAAAAACTATACGTGTAAAAACCAATCTGCAATGTTTTCCCAAGAATCACGCAAAATAATTTTACGAATAAAGCATTGAAAAAAAAATTGAAAAAATAGCTGTTTTCTTTTTATTCACATCTGTTTTAGCTGTAATCGCTTCATAGGTTCTTTTATTCAGACAAATTGATTTTAATATGTTTGAATCAATTTGTGAATAGTCAAGGGAATCGGCTAGAGAGATGATATCACCAAAACAATAGTTTTGATGAAATCGGAAACCTTTCATCAATAAAATTTCGATTGGAACCTATTGTCTCAAATATTTTTCCATTTAAATGGACATGTTTCAATACAAAATTGGTTTGACTTCTACTCAAAGCAGAGGGTGGGACCAAAATGAGATAAGACAAAGGACACTTTGTATTTCAATTTTTCGTTTCTTTCTTTTTTTATTTATCAAAAATCACTTTCATATGAAAATTAATACAATGGGCAACCGCATGGTGCACCGGCTGGTGGAGCAGCAGGTGAAGCAGAAGGTGAAGCTGGCATGAATGGTGTCATGCCAGCGAGAAGGGCGGAAATTTCAGTGGGTACAGAGGCGGCTGGCTGAATTGTAATCGCTTCAATGAGATAAAAAAAACATGTGTAAGTCAAAAATGGAAATTACAATTCGGCTGATGTGATGATTATGAACGGATGAACTTACGTGCGGGCAATGAGGATCCTGGATAACCTGACAATGGGGATGCTGGAAGACCTGGATAACCTGA